TTAAGTTAAATGGTCTAAAATATTGAAAGTTTAATAAAAAAAGTTTTTCAAGTGGAATTTTTTTTTTTTTACACAAAATCGGTCGATATATCGACAATCGGTGGCCGAGGACTCTCCAAAATCGGTATCGGCATCGGACCGAAACATCTGGCATCGCTCGGGCTCTACAAATAGATTTTAGTTTGGGGTAACGTAAAATAATCCATGTTCTTTGGGTCTTTCGATCAAGTCACGTAGATATAAAAATAATAAAATGAAAAAAAATCACGACTTTTCGATCGCAACACAAGCAATCGTCTCAAGGTGAAACAAGTAAACCCGTAAAAACAAAGTTTTTCACTATAAATCCTTTATATGCGTGGCGGCTAGAGTCTTCTCGTCCTCTGGCTTGAGATGGCTGCCACCTATGGGTCAGATGATTGTCTGCCAGTATTAAGCAATTGGTAATTAAATATTTAATTTGTTTTCCCTAAACAGTGTAAAATTTTGGAAAAAAATTTTCACGAAAATTAATTGTCACACACAACGAGTCTGTGTGGAAAATGTCAGCTCGATTGGATCACGGGAAGTGGGTTAAAAAACGAGCGAAAGATTTGCACGGTCCTAAGCAAGCAAGCGAACTTAATATAAAGGATTTAAAAATATATTCGCCTGTGGAGGACGCGGGGATCGATCCCGCGACCTTTGGCATGGGAAGCGAGGGCGCTACCAACTGCGCTACTCCACCACGGCCTGTGGAGGGGTTACGCTCTGGGCTCTTACACTGTGACGTTCAGCCAAAGCCATGAATGAGTTCTATTTGAATATATGTAAAATAATTTTTTTTTGCCTAAAAAGTGTAAAATTTTGGGAATTTCTTTTCACGAACATTAATTGTCTCGCACAACAAGTCTGTGTGGAAAATGTCAGCTCGATTGGATCACGGGAAGTGAGTTAAAAAACGACCGAAAGATTTGCACGGTCGTAAGCAAGCAAGCAAGCATGCAAGCAAGCAAAAGCAAGCACGCACGCAAGCAAGCAAGCAAGCGAACTTAATATAAAGGATTTAAAAATACAGCAGGCGGACTGCTGAGGCAGGAAGAAATGTAGCGAGAGAGCTACTGCAGCCAAAGGTAGAGCTACTGCAGCCAAAGGTTATACAGTGAGGGAAAAAAGTATTTGATCCACTGCTGATTTTGTACGTTTGCCCACTGACAAAGAAATGATCAGTCTATAATTTTAATGGTAGGTTTATTTGAACAGTGACAGACAGAATAACAACAACAAAAATCCCGAAAAACGCATGTCAAAAATGTTATATATTGATTTGCATTTTAATGAGGGAAATAAGTATTTGACCCCCTCTCAAGCCAGAAAGATTTCTGGCTCCCAGGTGTCTTTTATACAGGTAACAAGCTGAGATTAGGAGCACACTCTTAAAGAGAGTGCTCCTAATCTCAGCTTGTTACCTGTATAAAAGACACATGTTCACACAAGCAATCAATCAGATTCCAAATTCTCCACCATGGCCAGGACCAAAGAGCTCTCCAAGGATGTCAGGGACAAGATTGTAGACCTATACAAGGCTGGAATGGGCTACAAGACCATCGCCAAGCAGCTTGGTGAGAAGGTGACAACATTGGTGCGATTATTCGCAAATGGAATAAACACAAAGGAACTGTCAATCTCCCTCGGCCTGGGGCTCCATGCAAGATCTCACCTCGTGGAGTTGCAATGATCATGAGAACGGTGAGGAATCAGCCCAAAACTACACGGGAGGATCTTGTCAATGATCTCAAGGCAGCTGGGACCAGTCACCAGGAAAATAGTTGGTAACACACTATGCCGTGAAGGACTGAAATCCTGCAGCGCCTGCAAGGTCCCCCTGCTCAATAAAGAACATATACATGCCCGTCTGAAGTTTGCCAATGACCATCTGAATGATTCGGAGGACAACTGGGTGAAAGTGTTGTGGTCAGATGAGACCAAAATGGAGCTCTTTGGCATCAACTCATCTCGCCGTGTTTGGAGGAGGAATGCTGCCTATGACCCCAAGAACACCATCCCCACCATCAAACATGGAGGTGGAAACATTATGCTTTGGGGCTGTTTTTCTGCTAAAGGGACAGGACAACTTCACCGCATCAAAGGGACGATGGACGGGGCCATGTACCATCAAATCTTGGGTGAGAACCTCCTTCCCTCAGCCAGGGCATTGAAAATGGGTCGTGGATGGGTATTCCAGCATGACAATGACCCAAAACACAAGGCCAAGGCAACAAAGGAGTGGCTCAAGAAGAAGCACATTAAGGTCCTCGAGTGGCCTAGCCAGTCTCCAGACCTTAATCCCGTAGAAAATCTGTGGAGGGAGCTGAAGGTTCGAGTTGCCAAACGTCAGCCTCGAAACCCTAATGACTTGGAGAAGATTTGCAAAGAGGAGTGGGACAAAATCCCTCCTGAGATGTGTGCAAACCTGGTGGCCAACTACAAGAAACGTCTGACCTCTGTGATTGCCAACAAGGGTTTTTCCACCAAGTACTAAGTCAGAGGGGTCAAATACTTATTTCCCTCATTAAAATGCGAATCAATTTATAAACATTTTGACATGCGTTTTTCTGGATTTTTTTGTTGTTATTCTGTCTCTCACTGTTCAAATAAACCCACCATTAAAATTATAGACTGATCATTTCTTTGTCAGTGGGCAAACGTACAAAATCAGCAAGGGATCAAATACTTTTTTCCCTCACTGTACATGTTTGAAGTGGGCGGGACTAGAGATGGAATTCCATCTCTGAAAACCTTCGGGCTACCATCAAAGATTTGTACATGAAGCCATCCAGATATATAAACACAGGGACAATTTCAACCGAGAAGATGGGCATAAGCTGAGCAATCATTGGAAGGACGTTATTAACCAAGCAAAGTCGTAACTTGCTCTGGTGCTTCCATTCGTCCCTGCCGTTTGGCTGTTATCTCCGATTCTCTGAGTTGCATTGCCCTGTTAGGTGTCTCTGCATTAAAGGGTTGGGGTCTCACGAACATGGCCACCTCTGCTCCCTTAGCTTCGATGGTTCTGGCTGTGTGATGGGCTGTGTATCTCACTGGCGCGACCACCGTTGCAGTAATTCTCTTGCGTGGACGCGCTTGCCTCCCAGAGAAGTTGGCAGCACCGCAGCTTGTGTTACACATAGACATGACATTAACTTACTAATTAACACAACTGACGTACTTGCGTCCGGGGATGGAATTCCTTTCCAGCTCAGACCCCACTTGCTTGCCCATCACCACATATATAATCTTGCTGTAACAGCTCTCTCGCTGGTTCAGCAGTTACACTGCTGGATTATTATTTTTTCCCGCCTGAGGACGACCGGTTGTGTTGCAATCGAAACGTCGTGATATATTATTTTCTGTTTTATTTTATTTTTCAACCTACGTGACTTTACCAAAAGAACCAAAGAGTATGGATTCCTGCAGTTACGAAAGCTTCAAATCAAGACGTAAAATATAGTTTAAGTAGTTTTAAATAAAGACAATCTATGCATATAAAATACCACTGCAACAACTGCAGGAACATACCAGAATGTTTGAATACATATGTGTGATATACACACACACATACAATACAATACATCATACGAAGCTATATATTTGCTGTGCCATTTGCTAAAACCATGATGTCCGCAACAGTGTGCAGGTGCTAAAACAGGCACGAGACATCCTACTCTAAACTGGTGTAAAAAACGTTTACGATGCATGGTGCACTGGCTTGTCATGCGCTGTACAGTCTTGGCTAAAAAACAGTTTTCACTGGTTTAATTCTTTATATAAAAAAATATTCAACAACACCATTTTGCACACAAGCAAGCATGCTGGGTGACTGCACCAATGCTGCCAGCCATCCATCCAACCATATACAATCCCTGAAAGGTCTTTTATTTTGCGATGATAAATCGATACATTTGTTTTAAATGTACCATTTCTCTCACTCCTTTGTTAAGAAATTAGCTCCTTGATTCTATTATTACTACTTGTAGACTAGTTTTCTAAGTGTGTTTGATATTAATTCTTCTTTAGAAGAATATATATTTTTATTCTAGTTGTATTTTGATTTTACCAGATAAGGCCCACTGAGCTATATAGCTGTTTTTCTGAAGCGACCTGGCCAGAAATTAAATAGCTTATCATAAGCCAATAGTGGCCAACGAAGAGGCATATCATGTGGAAATGTATAGCAGCCAAATACTGAATGTGGAGGGAAAAACCAGAGGACCCGGAAAAAAATCCACACGACCATGGGGAGAACATGCCAACTCCAAATATACAGGCATCAGGATCGGGATCGAACCGATGACCTCCTGTATACCAGGCAAGGTAGTTAACAAATCACCACATGCAAGTGCTCCATCCATCCTCCAGTTGGTCCCACGTGAACCGCAGCTTTATACTTCAAAGCATCCCACCAAAGTGTTTTTTGCAACCTCTGCATGTATTTTTTTGTGAAGGCTTAGGTTTATGTGAGTTTGAATGACTCCAAGAATTTTCAATGAACAAAATGCCTATGCTACAGGCACTCCACAATACAGTTTTTTTTGTTTGGATCGTGTAACTATATAAATGTGTCGTTAAACCCGCCACCACCCAACACAGCCAATTAGTAAGGTTTGTCACGTAAACAGAACATGTCAATTCGTTACTAGTACAGCACAATGGCGTGTTGGAGAGCAAAGCCACAGCATTTATAATCTGAGTAAATTAACACTCTGCTCCGATTTCTCATTGTGTCCAAAGCCAAAATAGTAATTATTTTAGAAATGCACACAATTACACTCTAGCATGTGCACAGATAAATAAGAGTATGTAGCAAAAAATATCGTCAATAAAAATGTCTGATGTTATCCCACGAGTTCAAATGTGACATACGAAAATGGTACCATGATAATCATTCCGTTATGATGAGTTAAGACAGAAACAGCATAAGTAGATAAATTGGATGTGTAACACTGTAGAATATGCCTTACCCATATTTAGGATGATGGGAATGTGACAGGACTTGTCTTGCTGCAGTCGTGTGTTCCTCAGCAAAGTACCTAAAATAATACAATGACAGAATTATTACAAAGTTAAATCGGACATAAATTGTAGCGGTGTATCACTAAGGTATCAAAACTGTATTCAATGAAAAACTACAATTTCATTTTAAATTGACACTGTGGTTTGTGATTACTATAAGATCTTCAGTAACATCGTCCCTCCGATTAGCGCGGATGGCTATGTACGGTGCGAAAGAAGTTCAACATGCATAAAATGTCCAAACAATGCAGGATGAAAATGTTGTTCCAATTGTTCTTCCCCCCCCCTTGCTGTATAGTGCCGTTTACTGCATGTACTAATGCACATACACATTCCCTATGGGAATTCAGCATGTACGGTACTCATACATAACATTTGAATATTTGATAAGACCTAGAGAGCCCAATTAGAGGGCAAAGTTTAGACTATTTATGTGGTGCAGCCATGAACCTCGACGTATTCACTCACTTATGCATTAGCCCCTTCTCACTATATATCAGCCTGGCAGCCCTAACAAGTTCACGGCTACATAACCATTCGCGTATTACAGTGTTGACAAATACATATTACTGTACTTATAACCAGACAAGAAGACATAACACATAATACCCATGAATATGAATGCTTGTTGTTTAAAATGGCCTACCGGTGTGTTTAGTGTATGTCAAATTTTTTTTACAAGTGTTGAACATAAACAAGCAGGAAATATAACAAATACATGTTGGTAAAGTGGTGTTATTGTCATTGTTGTTTGCAAATAATGCCATTCATGCTTTCTAATTAACCTTGAAAGTGTTAATGCAGTCGCTCTGTTTGTCAAGTCTGCAGTGGGAGATCCCAATAAATCTTATCATCTTGACTTAAAGCTTTCGTAACTGCAGGAATTTATATTCTTAGTCTATATATTTTCCTGCCTGAGTAGCTCTCCCGCTATATATTTGTTTCACCTGATGACGATTGCTCGTGTTGCGATCGAAACATCGTGATATTTTTATAATTTTTATCTATCTACGTGGCTTTACTAAAAGACCACAAATATTACATCTCATAATAAAATGTGAAAACAATATTATGTTGCTTATCGGGACTTACTCTGTAGAAAGCTGGTAAATTTCAGTAAAGGATTCCTTAAACCTTGGCGATAACAAAAAAGTGCGAAATAGATAAGCCTTAATAACCCAGGTGATGACATCACCCGCAACATGTGTGGCCTGGCTTCCCATGATGCCATTACGTACAGCGTCATCTCACAACTACACATCATGCGTCGTCTTCCTTCCCATTGTGCAGCTCAGAAGATTAAGTTATTTTCACCAATTCAATACAGAACAAATACAACACTCTAGTGACTTCATTGTCATGTTTATTTTTACACGCTTTTATTTAACTTACTCTGTTGTTGTTATCGTATCCTCAAATCTTGTAACTCAATTTTAACCCACTTCCCAAAGTGGTATCGACTGCAAACTTGGTATACTTATGTCATACTGATGACAATACTATAATCGATCATAAAAATATAAAAAATATTTGTAAACAATCTTTTTTATATGTTATGTTTCGGCTTTGGTCTAATTGTCCATGCTCAACTAACGTTGGTTGTAAATCACCACGGTCCCTTACGTTATGGCAAGCCTCGGGGCCACTTACTGGAGTAGTGGAGTTCTTCCATTACTAGTATGGTACATTTCATTAAAGCGTGTTTAAAAAAATAATATTTATTTATTCGCGTTACTCTCATGAGTCTTAATATGGTCATGCAACTATGTCACTCCGGTACTGGAGTGGAAGGTGGCAAGCCTTGATGCGGGTCACTTTGTTACGTGAGAAATCACGACAAATGCCATTAACGCAGTGACTGGACATTGATCATCAATCTCCCAACCTCCAGAGCAACACTGTGTATGCCAGTACTATGACGGTGTGGCTGACCATGATTTTTAAGACTTTTTTTTCTCATGAATGAAGCTTCAAATTCTTGCTTGACAGATCAGGAAACACTGCCTATGAATGTGGGCCTTAACTGGTAAAAAACATTTCATTTAGTTTAGTATATCTGAATATATGTAGTGGTGTTATTTCACACTGACAACTTATTTTTTTTCTCCTGTGTCACTTTTATTCGAATAGAACTCCTCGCGTTCAACACCACGTGACTCCTGTCGCAACTCTCCCGCTTGCGCTGCTCGCCTGCCTCACTCTCTCCCTGCCTCTCCACTGCGAGCCTGCTCTCTCTCTCTCTCTTACTCTCATAGCCTCTCCGCTGCTAGCCTGCTGTCTCACACTCTGCTCGCCTGTCTCTCTCACTGTTAGCCTCTCCGCTGCTAGCCTGTCTGCCACACTCCGCTCTCTTTCTCTATCACTCTGCTAGCCTCTCCACTGCTAGCCTATCACTGCACACTCTGGTAGCTTCCCACCGTACACTCAGCTAGCCCCTCCACTTTTATTACTATACACTCCGCTAGTTTCTCTCCTGCTAGCCTTCCGCTATATACTCTGCTAGCTTCTCTACTGCTAGCCTCTCGCTATATACTCTGCCAGCTTCTCTACTGCTAGCCTTCCACTATATACTCTGCTTGCTTCTCTCCTGCTCGCCTTCCGCTATATACTCTGCCAGCTTCTCTACTGCTAGTCTTCGCGCACTTACACTTAGGATCCCGCTAGCTTCTCTACTGCTAGCCTTCCTACCCTTGCCTCTCCAACCTCGCCCTTGCCTACAGTGGGGGTTCAGCCATCACCACTGGAGAGGACGAGGTGTGGAGAGCGGGGCAATGGACTTCTCTCGTGTTCGCTCTTCTCGTTGCTCCAACCAACTCACCCTCCTGCCTCGTACGTTCCATATTTATCCTGCTCCTTATTAAACGCCCTAATTAAGCTGGCATCCTCCCGTCGCCTCTCGCACATGGCGTCCGCTGCTATCGCCTCAATCTGCAGACTCCGAGGCGTCTACACCGTGTCTGCATTTGCAGCCAGTCAATCACTGCTATGCATCTTAATTGGTCGTCTCTCTCTCTGTACTGCTCTCACACCGCACCTGTTTGTCCTGGCGTGACTTCACTGTCCGCGGCTCACACGTGCATGCACACTGTTTGCAAAACCCCCAGCGCATTACTCCACTACATATATGTATGTTTAACTTCTTTCGCACCGTACGTAGCCAACCGTGCAAATTAGAGCAATTAATTATTTTTTATTACATCTTCCTTAAATTGCACTAATCATAAACCTCTGAATCCCACACACATCCTCCTCTTCCACCTTTTAAATAGGACTTAGATAAATAACAATAAACATGAACTCATTAACACATAAGGGACAATATGATACTCGATGCAAAAATTGACAATCTCAGACAATAATAACAGAATTCCCTATTCCTGATCTTAATGCATTAGTTTTTTTACCTCCAAGGCAACTTCGATAAACATCACAACTTGTCTGACTTGAAAAATGTCTTGATCATGCAGTCGAGAATGAAATATTTCCGCAAATAAAATCGTTAAAGAATGTTAGCACCACTCTTGTCCCTTCATCTGATGCAGAAGTTCTCTACTGATATGAAAGCCATTTCAAGTAAAAATTGAGGGTTGTTAATGATATGTGGAATGTTCATCTAGCTTATCTGGGCTTCACATGTCCAAGAAATAATACCGAAAGAACCAAGAAGAAAAATAATACTATATAACATGTAACATTGTTTCATGTCAAAGTTTGAGATTTTGTTCAGACTAGCCAAATGTAAGCTAGATCATACATTGTTGAAACAATGAATGAAATAGTATAGCGTTCTATGAGAGATTGTAATATCAGGTGTGATATTGTCAAAATTATATTACTAAAGCCAACCACACATGTTCCAAAAATTACCTGTAAGTTTTCAGTCACATCATAGTATGATATTGCAAAATTACTATCCATACAGAACAAGCTGCAAAGAACAATTAACACAGTTTTATGAAGGGAGAAACCATTCACCCTCTAACAGAATTAAGAGCGTTTTCCATAAATTGACATTAAAAAACATAACCATCCCAGCTTTTGCCAAAGAAAGTGGTTGAAATGTAATTCTACTACTCTGTACATTCACCCAAACCTACGTAACTAAATCTATATTTCTATTAACATTTTGAGCGTCAATTCCTCCAAGACATTAAATATCAAAGCAAATTTTACCATTGAACAATATACACGTAACTGTGCCACTCAACAGTTTGAAATGCTACAAGTTATCACAATTAATTGTAACTTTAGCTTAGCCGTGCTAAAACCCTGACTGAACGATGTCTCAGACTGAGCGTGCGTGCATGAGCCGCTGGCCAGGGAGAAGCACGACGCCTTGATTGACACACGTCACGCTGCACATGCAATGACACATGATGGAACGTCCAATGTCACCAATTACACACGACAGTAGAAGCATCACGGTACAATGACCAATGTATGAATAGCAGAAGATCCAAAGGAGACTCTTACACGAGCTGGCTGTACAGCAGCTGTAAAAGGAGCTGAAGAGAAATGGGTTTCCGATTGTTGCATTTTCTCACGACAAAATCTGATCTTTATGGGTTCAAATAACATCTGAGTTAATTTTCCTTTCCAATATAATTTTGTTGAAAAGGTACCAATGTCTTCGTGGTCAACAACGGAGGGAATCAACAAGATTATGTGTTTGTTCTATCAAAAAGTGAATGGCCAACTATCTTATCTAATATCTTACTAATCTCCCTCCCATTCTCCAGATATCTAATTCCCTCTCCTGCTTCTCCAGACAGGAAAGGCTATTTTGATATCCATGCTCATGACTCCTTGCTTTCGTTTAAATCTAGCTTTTGTCAATAGCTTACACCCGATATCGTTCAGAGCTCCCCTCTGACTATGGCTATTTACTGTTTTTATAGTGGCACAGTTTCCCTCGCTTTATGCGGAAGATGCGTTCCAAAAGAAGGGCACACAAAGCGAAACCGTACGAAAAATTACGCCTGTCGAGTAGCACATGCAGTACACACAATGTCGTCCCATGTCTGACATCACAAACACATTTGAGCGAATTCAAACCACATATCACGAATTTTGGGTAGAAATAGGTTGGCCGTATATATGCAAAATCGCACAAACTGAACCCGCATAAAAATCCTGTACTTGCACAAATTATACTTAAGTCTGCCTATTTCTCATATTTTATTTATATGTTTAATTGTTCCAAATGCAAATAATCTAAAGCCTTGTGTTTTTGACACTACAAAAGGAATATGCATTCCAATAATTATTGCTATTGACAAGAGCTAGCTATTTAAGATCGAAACAGGAAGATTTCTCCAGAATTCTGGCTGTCGCCTGATAAGGCTGTTTGTAATACTGGCGAAACGTCGTACTCAAATGGTAAATATTGTGGGTTTACTCTCCAACACACCACTGTGCTAAACTAGTAACGAATTGGCATGTTCGGTTTACATGACAAACCTTACTAATTGGCTGTTGAGTAGTGGCGTGTTCAATGACGCATTTATATTGACGCAATCTAACCCAAAAACCTCTATTATGGACAACAGGACTCAAGAAAAAGCAGTATCCCGATTCACATGTACACAATTCTTTATAAGCTACTGCCATCTGCTGGGACATTTTTGTAAAAGTTAAATACACAAGTGCCAAGTCAATTGTAACAAGTGGCTTTGTCCCTCGTGTTATCTGGAAAGCAATGTTCCAAAAAAAAACGCGGTTCCTAGAAATTGGTAACGTAATAACAGTGGTTTGGCAGCCACTGTGATAAAATTGCACAGCGCACACAATTGCATAATATTATTTTTTTCACTTTCACAAAGTCAAGATAAAACGTTAGACCCCACAAACAGAAAGGTACTGCTTGCTGAGAGACCCGTTCACTTACATTGATTGTTTAACACTTAATGGCAGCTTACAGTCACATATATAGGTGTACTCAATTAAATTAATATTGAGTGAAAAGTGGCCAAGCTGAGCCAAGGAGGACTGCTATTTTGAGCTACACTTTTAATTAATTGTTTTCAAAAACAAGGTGTATGAGTATTCATGTCGCAACAACGAACAATCAAATCAAATTGGTCAAGGTTCCCAGGAATGTTTCAAATGCACACACACCCACGCAACAAGAGCAACGTTTTACAAAAAATATTTTTAGCTGACAAAGTGTGAACCAATTTCAGGCTGCGATGATTGTGACAAGCTCACAGGAGATTGAGGAGGCCCAGCATGCCCATGCCTCGGAAGTCGGTGCTTGGGTCGTCCCCCTGGAAGCCAATGTCCCCCCACTGCTTCGTGATGCGTGCCTTTAGTGTCACCTCCGGCATAAGCAGGGCCCAGAGCTGCATAGGCACAGCAGAAAGAAGGACAACAAATTAAGCCATTGCTACTCAACTCGCTTAACTCGTGCCACCCACAAATGGTAAAAAAAAAAGTTGATGATGAGATTCCTGTTTCGCTCGGTTTTCACCGTAAGCGTTAGGCAATATCCAAGGCTCCGTAAGATTTATCAATAGTATTCCCTAAAGATGGCTATGAGCCACAGTGGACAATATGTATGTCAGAGCACTAAACCAGCATTATTGTGATTCTGAGATAGAATCAAGGACATTAACATTTTAACTGCAGCAACTATATTGGATGTGTGGTAGAAGTAAAATATAAAAATTCCATACCAATTAAATAAAAAAAAACTAAACCAAGGAAGCTGATACCATAGAAAATCTACAACGATTCATGTGGTTTACTCTACACCGAACTGTGAAAGAGCCCATTGAAATACACCAATTCATAATGGAGATGTGAGAAATGGAATCATAAACTGTTTGTAAATTACCTTTAATAGGGCCTCTTCATGCGTTTTATTTTCCGAGTCATATCGCTGCTTCCGTATCTCTTCCACCTCCTTTGTGAGTGCATGATACCCAGAAATTTGCAGCAGACAGGCCTGCAGTACTGGTGCAAACCTGTAGCACAGTTTCATACCAATAGAATAATACACATGATGGCAGCAGGTGATGGGTTTTTTCCCCCTATTTATAAACACATTAAACTTATATTAAAGCACACCAATGAATGTGCTGTGTACATGCATTTTAAATTAACCATGTTTGTAATGAGCGTTCCACAAATGCAATTTTTTAAATTTGCCTAAATCGGAGGTGGCCAAGCAGTGATGGCACTGCTGAGATCCTGGGTAGATCCTGGGTAGGATTTCGCACAAATCACTCCGACCTCCACCCACCAAACAGCATAGAGTAAATGAGTATACAGGTGGTCCCCGACATATATCGGGGACCCTCTGTACCACATGTAGTTTATCAGCAGGTCACGTGTAGTGGCATTAAGTGTGGGTACTCCCCTCTTTTCCGAGATGTCTGGTCAGTGTGGTAAAATAGGACAAATACCCCCTCGAGGCGCTGTAGAGCTCTCTTCTGGAGGCCCGTTTGCCAGCAGTGGCGTGAGCAAGACACTGCAGGGCTGTACATTTCCCTTTGAACATTGTTGTAAGTAAATAGGTAAAAAGAGTTTAAGCATCATAATTTCTACACGTGTTACACCTCAAATATTTGTAGGCATTAAGCCATGTGCGCTTCACAACGCAGGCAAGGGTAATGCCTACTCTTTGGGTCTTTCGGTAAAGTCACGCAGATAGAAAAAAAACAGAACACGACGTTTCGATTGCAACACAAGTAATCGTCTTCAGGTGAGAGAGAGAAAGCTACTGAAACAAGGTCTTAGAAAAATCAATTTCGTGTGAGTCCAGAGCATTAACCAGGTAAAGTCTTAACCTGCTGTGATATTTCCATCCTACCTGCCGATTTTAGCCGACTTTCTGAGTTGCATTACTAGGTTGGATGTCTTTGTATTGACAGGCTGGATGTCCCACTCACTCAGTCACCGATGCAGTAACATACTAGGCAAGTCACAGCGACATATTAAGCTCGTACATTGACATACTAATCTCTCACAATACAATGGCCACTTCCACAGCCTCAGGGAGACTGCACCCATCTCAGGCCTATATAAGACCTTGTTTCAGTAGCTTTCTCTCTCTCACCTGAAGACGATTGCTTGTGTTGCGATCGAAACGTCGTGTTCTATTATTTTTCTATCTGCGTGACTTTACCGAAAGACCCAAAGAGTATGAATTCCTGCAGTCACGAAAGCGCACGTGGCTTAATGCCTATCGGGTCAAAATAAAATGTTAGCCAGATATTATTTGGAAGATATATGTAGATTGAATCATGACCATTGTAATCGTTTTCATTTACAAATGTAAATTTTGTATCAGTTGAGTATTTTTTATAAAAAAATTATATGTTTTAGCATTTAGTAATATGCCTGGATAAGGTAAGCCCTTGCAGCGGAGACATCTAGGCAAGCGGGCAATACAGAGGAGCAGCGTATAATACCTTATCTAACCCAGTCAGTGATGTCACACTTGGCAAGAACCATGCATGAAGCATGCCTATAATTCAGTGCCTTGGAGGCATGGGTTTATGGAAAGCTTAGATTTGTTGCAAAATATACAACTGTTCTAATGAATACAGTGCACAAATGCATTATACGTTGCTATGGAGAATAATAGGTAAAAGCAAGTATAAGCACAAGGTCTATACTTAGTTTTCACACAAATTAAAATTACCTTCAGTAAATCAGCCCACCTGCCTTCGAGACCAACATTATCAAGCTGCATTTGTGCAAGTAAACTCTGGACCAATGTTTTGCATCTAGGATTAAATAAAGTGCCATATTTTATAGGCAGCGCTCTTGGCAATGGAGTCTGGTAATCCAGCGGAATTTGTCTAACACTCCTGATGGGATAAATAGTGATTGGAAAAATGCTAATTAATGTTGGTCTGGAATGCTGGTGGGCTTGTGTGTAGAGACAGAGAATGGAGTTCTGCTTATACATGTATTTGGTTCAACCCCTCGACTTTAACATTATCTCAATGGGAAATTAGAGTTCGCTGTCAGTAATTGAGCAAGGTAACACATCCCTTTTGTATCGCGTGGGATTCCTGGAATTAGTACCTATTAAGTCTTAAGAGTATAGTGTGAGACACTTCGCCGTGAAATGCGCAAATATACCAAAGGATTATGAACCAATACAAATGTGAATGATAATCACTTTAAATGAAACGCACGTGGGATTCGTAGATGGGTTGATTTTTTTCACGTGCATTATCTCCTCTGCTGTTTTCTCCACTTCAGGTTCACTGACCTTCACGGCCGAGCAAAGCACCTTTGGAACATAAGTACAAGCGTTACTAAAACCATTCTCCACTGCTGAATCAAGGCCTTCCCATGCCATCATTATCCAATCATACGTCTGCGATTCTACAACCCAGCTCACTGCAGCACAGCCTATCTCATCAATCCATTTCCACAGTGGTTGTGCTCTCGCGTGTATTCCCTCATTCTGTCACCAATCTTGTCCATTGGTAATCATCCCGCCGTGGTGGAAAAATGTTAACTTCCTCGCCTGGTATGTAGGAGGTCGTGAGTGGGATCCGACCGTGTCGCCTTCTGTATATTTGGAGTTCGCATATTCTCTCTCTCTCCCCGTGGTCATGTAGATTTTTCTCCAGGTCCTCCAGTTTTTCCCTCCACATTTAGAATCAACATGCGTTTTAGAGTACTTGGCTGCTACACATTTCCAACTGATAAGCCACTTCTTGTAAGTTTCAATGTTTCTGTTTCATATATCAAAGCTGGAACTATATAATAAATAAAAATTTTCTTATTGAGGTATATTGGTGTGCTGTCCTTCCCCCGCAACTTCGATTAGTACGGTTGGCTACGTACGGTGTGAAATAAGTTAAACATAAATCGATTTTGATCTGGATTTATAAACATGCAGAAAGTATTAGCCATTTAATATTTTCTGACAACATAGAAATTTTAACAACCTTTTAAATTAATTACATTAAACTATTAAATAACTACGCAAATATTGACTTAGAAATAGGAGCACCTGCCTCGGGTCTAATTTCAGTTGCCTGAGCCTAAAATGTAAAACTGTTGCAATATACAGTAGTCAACATCAACAGTGGGAAGACAATGGTGGCTGGTTGTGAAGGTTAAGTTACCTAAAGATGTAAAGTGAATGTGATGACGGATGGGCATGGCTAGTTATGGCAGTGGTTGTAGGTGTGAGTGTAAATAGTATTGCCGAATTTCTTTTGTAGAAATAGTTGTGGTGGCAATCTAAATACAATGCTTCATGAAGATGACCGCATGCAAAGTTATGCAGTGAAAACGAAGGGAACAGTTATCTGGTAATGTCATATTTTCTAAATGATTGTAACAGCTTACCACATTCTTAGAAGCAGTCAACGAATATTCTGCAAGAGACACATAACAATGGTCAAAAACCACACAATGTATGTTGTGCACAGTCATATTAATAGAGTAGAGGTATTGCAGAATATAAAGGGACCTGCTTTATGCTTGATGAATATAAAGCTGCACTCAGTGATACCTCATTTAAAGTATGAGCCAAGCCAGCAAAATACAAAATGAAATGCATATTTATGACACTATCAAGACAGCTTACCAAGTGAAAGCTGCCAAACTAAAGCATTAAGCAAAATGCACTACTTTAGTTACAACAACAAACAATGCCTGTATTATGCAAGAATCAAATGTAGTTTTATTTACAAAGCAGATATTACAAAAGCTTGGACCGAGTGCTGCATTGATTGCTAAATTGCTAGTACCATGCAAGCAATAAAAGCAATGCATGTTCTATATTGTGAATAATTTCAAAACACAAGGGGCCCCATGAGTGAACTTCACCAGAGATCAATCACAGTACTCTGCATAATTCTAATACTTACTTTCCAAATCGAAAATAATAACACAAAACTTCACAATGTCTGTAAAACTAGACTTCAGTATCATTTAAGATGCCATTACATTTTCTAGAACAATGTACTATACGTACAACTATGTTACCAAGATGAGATATGCTGAGAGCATACTTTCTCTTATTGCAAAAGTGACATCTTCAGGAGAGATAATCCCATGACACCATAAACTAATTCTAATATACCGCCAAAATATGCCCCTCCATAGCTGTTATGTTAAATAAGGTGAAATCCCATTCCATGATGGTCTTTAGTGTAGTCACTGTTGACCAACTTACTGAACTCTGTTTTAATAATGGTATTTGCACTCTCAGTTGGGAAATAATTTCTGCATTTATTTTGACTTAAAACTTTCGTGACTGCAGGAATTCATATTCTTTGGTTCTTTCGGTAAAGTCACGTAGATATAAAATAATAAAATCCAAATATAAAAACCAAAAACTCACGACGTTTCAATCGCAACACAAGCAGTCATCATCATTCTCTCCGCCTGATGGGGCGACACGATCGCAACACAAGCAGTCATCATCATTCTCTCCGCCTGATGTCGACCGCTTGTGTTGCGATCGAAACATCGTGAGTTTTTGTTTTTTATTTAAAACATTTTTTTTCCTATGTGACTTTACCGAAAGAACCAAAGAATATGTTCTCCTCTTTGGTTCTTTCGGTAAAGTCACGTAGAAAATAAAATAAAATGATAATAGAATACGACGTTTCGGTTGCAACACAAGCAACCATCATCAGGTAAGAATGATAAAACACAGACACGGAAACAACACAGGCAGACACACATGCAGAGAGAGACACACACAAAGACACCGGGCGTGATGCACACCAAGGAAACACAGACACAGAAACAATATAGGCAGACAACATGCAGAGAGAGACACACACAAAGACACACCGAGCGAGACACACACCAAGATAAAACAGACACGGCAACACCATCGGACACACACCAAGACAAACAGAAGGTCAACGACTCTGTGCCGAGGCCTTAAATAGAGAGAGGGGGGGGAGAGGGTGGTTGCTTGTGTTGCCAAAACGTCGTATTCTATTATAATTTCATTTTATTTTCTAAGTGACTTACCGAAAGAACCAAAGAGTAATTCCTGCAGTCACGAAAGCTTCAAAACTAATATGTTTTCCATTTATATTTAAACCTTTATTTTGCCCACACAATTTTCTAAGGAGATGTTGACTCACAACGTCTTATAAAGTCAACAACTTTACGAATAACTTCGGATCTAGCGTGGCTTATGATGCAATTTAGGATTATGATGATAATAACTCTTCAGACACTGAGGCCCCACTCAAGCAAGAGCATTTCACATTGGCTGTTTGTACCGATTGCAAGGGCTCGTGTCGCCCCGGTCTTGTGCCGGTAGCAGATCCTCTGCAGCTCACAGCGGCCGCTGAGCTGGCGGAAAAACCACTTGATCCACCCACGCAGGAATCCTCCATAAAGGAACAGCCACAATCGCCACAGCATCTTGCCTGGCGACAAACAAAAATACGAGTCTGCAACCCTGCAAATTAAGTGAATATTAATGGCATGCACAGATACAATCTCTATTTTTAAATCAACTAAATGCAACTGCGTCGCAAGACAAAATAGCGCACATATTTTGAACGCAATTGTGAAAACTGTACGGTAATTCCTCGTTTAACGTGGTAGATGCGTTCCTAAAAAGTGCCGTTAAGCGAGGAATTACTATAAACAGTAAGTCCCCGGGTTGCGTAAGACCCGACTTACGGAAATCCGACTTTACGGAAATGCTCCCTATAAATCATGTAAAAAAATCAATATATAGAAATGTTTGCATTAATTACGTAAGTGTAAATAGTGCAGCGCGGTGAGGTTGAGGATGAATACCGTCGTGCGAAGCGTAAGCCTCGCCTTACGCCTCGCTCCACAAAAACATTGCCTTCACTGAGCTTCACGAGGATTAAGGTCAATGGAATTTTGTTGTATTACGTAATTATTTTGTTGTATTACATAATTGTTTGTTTTCTATGCTTAGAACTCTTTTTTCCCCATGTTTCTGTTGCTAGTTTTCTTCATTTTAAGTATATTTCATGAGTTATATACTGTACGTACTTTAACACAATTACACTTCGATTGCTTATGGTCTCGGCCAATAGCGATCGGAGAAGTCTAGGCCTAGCCTAATGCACGGTAAATGAGCATTCAGAAGTTACTTTCTAACAATTAATATTAACATGTTTCGTGGTTTCATAAAAAATTGGATCATGTATAGGTTCAGTTTCATTATGGTGTTAGGGTAGATATTCAATGAAATAACAGAATCATAGGAAGTGCAGAGCATACGTACAGCGATACAAGGTAGTGATGGAAAACGGACTGACAGCACGATATAGTACTGAGAGAAAACGAACGAGTAATCGGGTAGGGGAGGCACAACTATTTACGGCTATGGGATTTATTTCTTGATTTTGGGGGAAAATTGTTCAGGTTCCAGCATACGTATAAAATTTGGGTGACGGATCATTCTCGGGAACCTAACCCTTCCTTAACCCGGGGACTGCCTGTATACATTACAAGACATACATAAATAGTAAAGCTAATTTGAATCACATTTGCACTTTCAAATCAGCCTGCAGTCATCCCTTGGTCGGATAAAGAACAGAGATGACAGTTCGCCACTGTGTACTGTATCATCCCGTGCATATACTCATAATTCCCATACCTCTCAGCCGCTCAACTCAAATAGTTCATCGTCGACCGCTCAGAAACCGCGCTACAACGGGCGCGTTCCACGTCATAATGGGCGAGTTCCACGTCATAATGGCCGCGTTCCACGTGATATCGAGGTGCATTCCGCGTTATAACTGTCGCGTTCCGCGTTGTGCGAAAAGCGTTCCCGAATATAAGAACTGCGTCATTGCGAGAACGTCATGGTCACCCTCTGAGACCTGTTCCCTTCTTCGCCTGCCACACCATCGTTATTCTCGACAATTGGCTCTCGTTCCTACTTGCGATGTTTCCTGTGACGACTTTTCTTTCTTGTGCAAAGGTTTTGACTGCAGCTGCTTCGGATTATGAAGGTTCTGTGTTCATGCCGGAGACTCGGAAATCCACACTAAGGCACACATAGGATGATTAAGCCGTCAATGTTAATGCACGAAGGCTCGTCGTGCCAGACTAAGGTCCACTTAGGACTCCTAGAGATTGCGTGTTAATATCCGAGGCTGAGCTTGGAAAGCGAAATTGGAGCGGTGAATCACCTAGACACACACACACAACACGCACTGGGATGGGTCATTTGCACAGTACAGTACTGAGTGGTAGATGTCATCGAGACGAGTCATACTGGCAGAATGAACGAGGCCACTCGCAGTGGCTTATCCGAATGGTCTTCAAAGCCGCCCTCATGACCCGCTCCTCTGGATCTTGAAGCTTCGTCTCTGTTTCCATGCAAGACTGGGGCACAGGCCTCGACTTTGAACCCGCCGAGACGTGTTTTCGCACGAGTTAACGCATTCGTCACCGTAATGCTGTACGGAAGTTCTCAGCCGTTTTGGTATTGCGGCCCCCCAAATCAAGACCCACGGCTCCCCGCAAACCCCACTCGGGACCCGACACGACACGAAGGTCACCGAGGCCACAACACACACCGAGAGCTCGGATGTCCGCGCCGCTCGTCAAGTGTCTTCTTGTCAGACGTTCATTCCCGCAACGTGGCACGGACGTTGCCTGCACTTTAACACAGCAACATCCACAACAGCAGTGGCAGCGTCAACGCGATCGCTATTCAGCCGGCTTCGTCGTTGTCATGAGCCATGCTCCACCCTCTGCTGGATGAAGGAGGCCTCCCCAAGCCGCCGCCGCCGCTTTCCCGATGTTTTATTTCATGGCATTGTTGGGTTTGAATGAGGTCCAGGGCAGTCAGCGCCATTTGGCATATAGCCCGGCGAGGACTTCGCCCAGCAGTGGATAGCGCATTAAGCGATGATGATGATGATGAGTTGCTGCGCGAACTCGAGCAAATTTGCGCACTTTCAGTCGGCGGTCGACGTTTCGAAGCGGGAACTGCGACCACTCAGAGGAATGGCGTCGCCGCCCTCCGCCCCCCGTGGATCAAACAAATAACTCGAAACGCTGGCGGCCAAGAGCAGCTGATGCGACGTTTGGCGCACGGTCCATTGCACACTATGAGTGATGAATGAACGAAGAACGAATGACGAATGAATGAGGAGTGAATGAGGAGCGCGCGGTTACCTGACCCACGGAGCCAGCAGCACCACGTGACCCCCCCCACCCCGCGTTGCCACGGTAACACGAGCTTCCGGTAAGGGAATCGAAAATCGAAACAAACCGTCGTCGATTAATTCGATTACACTTTGTAGCCGATCCGACGCTGATGCTGGCGTGTTGTATCGTTTAAGTAGAGGCGATTCCTTATCGATTCCTAACCCACCACGCCCCAGGGCGTTGCGGAGGAGTGTGAGAGAATCGAAAGGTGACGATTTCTACTACAAGGAATCGATCTGTAGGTCGGGGGGGGGGGGGTCTTGTCAGAGCAGAGGTTTTTACCTGCGAGCGGGCGAAAGTGTTGCGCTCACAATTACCTATTTCCAATTAATTACACAACAATTAATTACATTTAACGCGTAGACTTTCGCGAACGATACCGTGGATTACAACTAACTCACAGCCACAACTTGCTTTCATAGACAGCTGTAAAGTACTGCAATTGTTTTCTCTATAGAATTGTCTTTTTGTTATGTTTACGGGTATTAGAATTACTCTTTGGTTATTTCGGTAAAGTCACGTAGAAAGGAAATACATTTAATACTAGAATACGACGTTTCGATTGCAACACAAGCAACCGTCATCAGGTAAGAATGAATGAGAAAAAAACATAGTAAACTTAGAAATGTAATGCCATACAACACAGAGAGTCGGCTAACACAATAGTCAACACCCCACCTGGTTGATTACGTTCTTACAAAGATTGTGTTGCAATTGAAACGTCGTATTCTATTTAATTTACTTTCTTTCTACTTGATTTTACCGAAAGAACCAAAGAGTAATTCCTGCAGTTACGAAAACTTAAAATCAAGTATGTACATGTATTATAATGTTTGATTTAAAGCTTTCGTGACTGCAGGGATTCATATTATTGGTTCTTTAGGTAAAGTCAGGTAGAAGGGAAATAATAAAAATATAAAACAATAAAACATTCTCACGACGTTTTGACTGCAACACAAGCAATCATCATCAGGTGTGACAGATTTGTGCCAAAAAAAAGGCCCCTTAACTGTGTATCGAAAGTTCAGTGTTCATGTGCCATTGTGTAGTGAGTCCAACCGAGTGGCAGACGTTGTCCTTTAGAGGCAACACATTTATTTGTAACACAAAGGGGTACACTGCCCTTTCAGCGGACACAGCCGAAACGTGGCACGGTCGTTGTCATGAGCCATGCCCCATCCTCTGTTGGATGAAGGAGGCCTCCTGCTGTGTGGCGTTATCGTGGTGTGGTCTGAGACTTTTGTCGTTTTAGCTGCCTTTCCCAAGCTTCATAAATTAGACATACAGTACATACAAATATATATACACATTTTGTGACTTACCTTTTCCTCAATTTGCACTACTATCGTGTTTTTTTTGTATTGTTTGCTGTTGTAATTCGTTGACCCACCCATACTGGACGACATCTACGAAAAGAGCTGCATAGCTCATCGGATTCCTCCTGCAGTCTAAATAAAGATGCGGAGTTTGAAGCAAAATTTGTATTGACGTGACTTTTTCGTTGACTACGTGCTGTGTTTAGTGGTAATTGGGAACACTGATTTATGGTGCTAGGTTGTTGGCGGATCTAGAGACTTCCCAAGGCAGTTGGGGACAGCCCCGAATTCCAAGCGTTTAAAATAGGGCCGCACATTAATGTAATAAAACCAGTGAGCTTCCACAGATACACATTTCCCCTGGTAAATGTCAGCTATTGACCAATGTTCTGGGGCATAGCCCCCCCCCCCCCTCTACTGTGCTCCAAACAGGCGTCTTATACGATACGCGCTCTATGGTTCCAGTGGAAGCTTTTTTTTTATTTCCATGGTGCATTTTTACAGGCATGAAGTTGTGTTTGTATGCAAGAGTGCCCTCTTTCTAGATTTGAAGTTTTCGTGACTGCACGGATCCATACTCTTTGGTTCTTTCGGTAAAGTCACGTAGGTATAAAATATAAAATAAATAAAATCACGACGTTTCGGGCGCAACACAGGCGTCTGTCATCCTTGGCTCCTCCCCCCTCCCTCATCTATATAACCCCTTGTTACAAGCAGCTCTTTTGCCTACTTCAGCAATTGTTTCTTTCCGTGATTGTCCCCACCTGATGACGGACGCTTGTGTTGTGCCCGAAACGTGATTTAATTTATTTTATACTTACGTGACTTTACCGAAAGAACCAAAGAGTAAGAGTGCCCTCTGTCCGAGATTTAATGTGGTTTGGAACCATATCGCAAGTCTCAAATAGGTGGTGCGGTGTGGTTTAGCCCTTTAATTGCTCACCCAGGGCACCGCCTCCTCGTCTAAATAAGCAGACAGTATCCCTCCTTCACGTATCTTTCCCTTTATATAAATAACTTTATTTTATACATCCCGTCAGCAGCACAGGGAGTACCTAATTTTATCAGTGAATGTTTGCAGCACAAGCAAAACTCTGGACCTGTTTGGACATCCAGTTCACCTACTGTGTTTATTCATCCATGAAACATCTGGAATCGTCCGTATTCATTCAACTTCATCACTATTGAAGATGCTTTAGTAAACAACTACTATATTCGCTTTGACTGACATGTCTAGATATGGGATATCTGATTAAGTAACGAATTATCGGTTTTATTAAATGACTACTCAGAAAGCATGAACATAGTTGGGAGAAAAAGGGTTTCGCCACGTGCACGTGCTGCTTCATGACAGGTGATGGGCAGGGCTTGGTAATGTCATCAGCATTATGATAGTTACATTTTATTGTGCAATTTTATTTAGGGACTATGTTGTTTTGGTGTGGTCTGGCTCTGTTTTTGTTGTTGTTTTGACTGCCTTGCCCAAGCTTGGGAATTGTTGTACTTGTGCAATTTAACTAATATACTGTATGTATATTTATTTTTTATTATTTGCTTACCTTTCTACTTTCTATGCTTATCTTTTTTTGTATTGTTTAACTTTCTAAGGTGTCCCGACTGGACATCTCATCAGATTTTTCTATGATAAATACAAATTCTGGTTCTGATCATCTTGTGTTATGCTGGGAATGGCTTGTAGGGGTTTTCTTGCCTTCGGGCAAGCAGAATATGGGGGCACCCACCATTTGCAAAGGAGTCTAAAGAATAAACAACAACAAAAGTAGTCGATTTCAATGTTAGTCAATTACCAACTTAATCAACTCATCGTCCCAGCTCCACACATGTTTACACTTTTGCGTTGCTCGTGCATGTTTGGGTTCACAGCTTCTGCCAGCCTTGTGACAATGGCTCTGCTCGCTGCCCTGAGCCTGTTGGAGATCATCTGGGCCGTCATTGGCATGGGCTTTGTCATTGCCTTCGCCGTGCACGTGTGCATGAGGGATCCGCCCGTGCTGCTCGAGGATTTGATCCGCTACGGCAAGAGTAAGGGCGGGCAGCGCGCCGCGTGGATGCGCGCCCTGGATGTGCCAAAGCGGTGCGTGCGCAGAACCGAACATCATCTGTCCGTCCGTCCATTCCTTGCACTTCCTCATCCACTCATTAATTTGTTAATTCATTTGTTTCCCCGATTAAAACACCTCTTGTTCAACCAATAGCTCGCTAATAGTTCAAATGAGATGTAATAGGTGATTTGCAAACATTGTACTTTCAGGCCAATTTCAGCCAGGGCAGCATTGTTACCAGTGATGACACTAATGCTGCTTGCATTGGCCGTAATGCACTACCAGGTGGTTCATGCATTTCTACGTGGTGGCCGTCGTCTCGCACGTGACACTCTTCTCGCTGACTCTCCGTGCGCTGCTGCTGGGCTCCCCGTTTCCTGGCTGGCTCGAGTCTCTCCTGGTTGCCTTTGGCAGCCCCACAAACAATTTTCCCCATGGTGAGTACACCTACAAAACAAAATCACATCTACCTAGTAATGGCAGCCTTTTGTTTGTTTTTTTCTCGAGGAGAGAACCTAGTTTAAGATGCTGAAACAAAATAAATGTGAGCACACTATCATAGTTGTGATATGTAACTGACAGGCACTGCCGTGGCGAGATGTTAACTACCTTGCCTGATATGCAGAATGTCGTAAGTTCGATCCTGACTCTGATGCCTGTATATTTGGAGTTTGCATGTTCTCTCTCCCCGTGGTCGCATGGACTTTTCTCCGGATCCTCCAGTTGTTCCCTCCACATTTAGAATTAGCGTGCATTTAGAATATTTGGCTGCTGTAAATGTCCACATGATAACCCACTTTGTTGAGCTATCATTTGTGCCCAGTTCGCTTCTGAAAAATAACTACATAGCTCAGTGGGGCTTACCTGGTAAAATAAAAAAAATAGTTCAGTTGAGACTTGCCACTCGTTGTGTTATTTCGTATCTTCTACATCCCGCAGTGGTTTTAAGTCTGACGGCCTCTGTGTCTTTTTGTTGCAGGCATGGAGCTGTCGGTTGTGCTTGCCCAAGCCCTTATGGTACTCCAAGTAGTGAGGCGACTGGCCGAGTGCCTGTGTCTCAGCGTGTATTCCAACGCAATAATGCATGCAGTCCAGTATGGATACGGTATGCTCTACTACGTGGTGATCGCCTTCACGTTGTTGTGTGAAGGCCCAAGCATGGGAGGAAAAGGTCGGAAACTCTTTTGAAGAGGAAATGCTGCAACATGTTTAACACTCAGGATGCCTACACTAAGTTATTTGCAGCACGAATAAAATGTCTGTACTGTTTTCATTTTTATATACTTGTTGAAAATTACATGCTCTTGAACTCACTTTGTTAATGAGCTATTTGTTAAATGATATAGACTTTTTAACAATTAGTTTATTCGTTTAACTTTTACACTAGACTTCACCTTTCCTGCAGCATCTCTCAAGTCTGGTCTATTCCTCATTTGAGCATGGAGACAATGACTGGATCATACCGTGTTAATTTACATGTGTTCCTACTTTTTCCCCAAAGACCTGCCAATAGGCAGACGACTAAAGACAAGATGTTACTATCTTGTACCTACCCTGAAATGAAGACCAATCAATGCTGTACTACAATACTAATGTGCCAACAATGTGTTGTCAAGGGGTGAGTGTGTGGCAGTTGCTGGCCCAGTGGAGATGGTACCACGTGGCTGGCTCTGTCATGTTTGCCTGGGCCACGCTCCACCACCATCGGAGCCACATCATCTTGGCCAATCTGCGAAAGGACAAAGCTGGTACGTATGTATGTTGAACTTCTTTCGCACAGTACCTAGCCAGCCGTGCTAATTGGAAGTATAACTTCCTGGAGTGCAACTGCAAGCATTCCCTTAGAAAATTACAGTAATGCCCATTGTTGATTGTCAGGAAAGACTGTTGAAAACTAATTTTTCATGTGGATGATGCTTTTGGAATATTTTTTCAATTCCGTTAATGATTCAGAGTGCCTGTAGGAAAATCGACGTATATGTGTCAAAGTTTCACAAAGATTCAAAATTCCGTTGATTTACTGTGATCTGGCCACCTTGCAGCCCAAACCTGCAATGTCTGGTATTTCCCAAGAATCTTCCATTCAGGTGTCAACCAGACCAACCCTGATAGCTTTTGAGATCTGACGAGATTGGGCGCACTTAGGATGATATTTGGTTATTGGCAAGGAAATTTTGTACAGTGTTCCCTCGTTATTCACGAACTTGCTATTCGTGATTTTGGCTACCCGCAAATCACATCTGGAACTCTAAACGACTGCATTGAGAGAGAGAAAGAAAGTGATGAAATAAGAGAAAGTGATAATATACATTGATGACAGATAAAGTGATGAGATAATTGTAACGTATTTAATAATTGATGTATTTATTTAAGGTAATTCATAAAAAAAGTTTTTTTTAGGTGAATGTCATTCTCCGCAAAATGTGCCATTCACAAGCATCTCTGGAACGTATCCCTTGCAATTAATGAGGGAATACTGTAAAATACATTGTATTGGCTCAATGGAAGGCCACATTGCTCAAGGCAGCACAGTATATAGCAGTGGATCTTGCGACACAATGAATATCTATGGGACCCTTTTGCCATTATCAAGATATTGAATGATAAATACAATGCCAAGTAATGTGTGGTTTATGCAGACTTAATGCCTTCGTAGTATTTGTCTATTTGGTGTTTGAACATCATAAGGCATGTATTTGTGCCAGATAATGCACATTCAATGACAATGCATTTGTCAGCCACGATGTTATATACAGTACAACTCTCCTGACCTGTGACTATGGTGGCATCAAAAGGCATTGCCTGTGACGATGTCTTCATTTGTGGTACCCTGCTGCATATGTTTCCCCCCTCAAAATCATATAATGGCTAATTTCAGATTCTCACTAACCCATCTGTATTATAAATGCCTCCTTTATTTGTCCTCAACATTCAGTTGTCTCAATCCTCTCGTCTGCTGTACAACATGACATGCAATTGCCTTTAGACATCCTGAAAATCCCAACGATTGTACGTTGTGCCGATGCTATACAAGTCCACACATGAACGTGCGATGGCCGTTTTACCAGGGCGCGTGGTACACACGAGGTACGTGGTTCCACATGGAGACTGGTTCGAGCTTGTCTCGTGCCCCCACTACCTGTCCGAGATCCTGGTCTACGTGGCGATCGCGGTGGTGCTGGGCGGCGTCCACCGCACGTGGTGGGTGGTCCTCTTCTACCTCATCGTCAGCCAGTCCATGGAGGGACGCCTCATGCACGAATCGTACCTCAGCCGTTTCCCAGACTACCCGCAGCATCGCCGAGCCATCCTGCCCTACCTCCTGTAATAATCAACTGGCACACAGATCTTCTAAACCAGTGTTTCTCAACTCCCAGGCGTTGCGATTCCCCACGGTACAACTTTCTATGGTAGTCGATCCTTTCTTTTTATATACCATGCCTCCCATGCAGTAAATCTCAGGTGCCAGAACAAAGGATGTGTTTGAGATCTATAAATAAGAGAATCACTTGGTGAGAGAATATTTGCAGACCCAATGCAAAATGCACAAACATTACAATGCAAACAATATGCACGAACAAACGATAATAAACAATAGTGGAAAAATTAACTGTGTGAAACTACTCTAGTGTTTTGCACTACATTTGAGTTATATGCTATTGGAAAATAATTTGTATTTAAATTTGTATTTATTTAGAGGAGCATTCATAATATTTCCAAGTAAGCTGTTAAGCACAACTTGGGTGCTAAGACAGCAAAATGCATGTTTCGTAGTTCTTGTGTCCGCCACGCTTCCAGCAATCCCCTGGGCCGGCACCTCTTGTCCCACGTCGCTGCCTTCGGTTTCCATGATTAAAGGGCAAGTAAGATATTTGGGTCGGTGAAAATTGCGGTCATACAATATTCTCGGAATGGTGGCTTCGACTCCGTAATCCCAGCTAATCTTATTTTCCCATGACTGCCAATCTGGGAGAGATACCGCCCCTCAGATTAATATTGTTTCTTCCATATAGATTCAGTGGAATTGATTTAAAAAAAACGCTTAACCTTTGAACACTTTGTTTCCTGTGTCATTTTTATATTTTCTTTTATTTTTTAAAATATTTTAAGTACAATTTTTAGGTGGGGCACCACCCCGACACCCCATACAGACCAATCGCCATTGAGGTAATGTAGAACGTTTAGTACCTGGGTCATTCCCAAGGCTGATTTAGGGGAAATGCTTCAGGAGTTATACCATCAATGACAATCAGTGCATAATTGGTGAAAAAAAGGCTGATATCAGTTTTCAGTTGACAGAGCTACTAAAAATGTATTTTATCTACATTATTCACGACCCAGATCACTTGCAAATATAATAAATTCCCTTGTCTCTTAATAATTCTCACCTGGTTAAACAAACTTGAGTTAATAAGAAATTGTATTTGATCTTGAATGGCTTGCAATATAAACTGCGGTTTTCAAAAACATGACTTATTTTTTCACAAAGCAGCCATTCATGCGGGGATCAAATTGTGCAATTGTCTGTCGTGCAGTTCCTCAATATGTTTTCTATTTGCTGCCTCATTAAATGTCCACATTTTAGAAGTCCCATGAAGCGATGGGCAGGTTGTCGTGCTGTACATAATTACACACATTGCGTAACTCTACCCTGTCAGTGAAAATCCACGGTACAACTGCCTATAAGATTACTGCATCAAACCCAGAATCTGTTAATTCCTCGTGAAAACCATGGTGTACGTCGCGTTCTAATGACATTTTCAACATGAGATTTTTTCTCTCCAAATATACTTATAAACAAGCATTTCCCAGTCTTGTGATGTGCTAAATTATTAAAATAAAACATTACCAATGTTTTAATTATAATGATCTAGTACCACGCATTTGTTCATTTAAAACATCGAATGAAACCTTCATATGAACTTTTGCAACCTTCTGATTGTGAGTCGAAATACTCAGTCATTAGTGCCAACCAACCAGACGAGAGGAGTTAATTGTAAACATATGCGTCCATTGATAATGGATTTCCACAACTGATTCAACATGTCACGTACTGGACACAATGTGCTGTGTGTTTTCTGCAGCCATTGTTACTGTTGCTATGACAAATGCATAATTGTCTTGGCCAACCCTGACTCTCGACAACCCCATTCAGACTGCAGATTTGTTAATATTTGAGTTAAAATGTGTTTTATTTTCATGGGTCTAAATACTGCGACAGGCATGTCACAATTCATGCCCTGCCCCTGGTCACAATTTGGGGTCGTGATTTCATTTAAGAATCAATTTTTCTGATGCCAGAGACTCGAGACGTACAGTTCCAGTCTTGTGACAGCAGCTACACAGACATTCGCAACAATAGAAATCGATCTATTCTCAATAAATATTTGATGCATGCATGTGTTGTGCAGTAAAACCACGCGTAGATGAGGAATACTATAAGGGCTGTTGCCTTTTATTAACACTGTTACTCTCAACACTCTTAAGCTCATACCAGAGGTAGGTGCTCTCTATCTTGTTCCTTACCCCGGACCCCGAACACTATCTCCTACTCTCGGCTATCCTTTTGGGGCTCTCTCACTCGTCTGGCCGGAGCAGGGGTTCATCTGACACCGCTCGGCGACGAGGAGAGAGAAACCCTCTCTCAGCCGGTCCTCACTGAATACTCAGAACCCGACTTCGGCTATCCCCTTGGCTCTCCCACTCGTCTGCCCGGGACAGGGGTTCAGCCAACACCGCCCAGCGACGAGCAGGGAGAGACCTCTTGCAGCCGATCCTTGCCCTGGCTCCCCACAACGTCCCCCTTAAGTACCCCTTTGGCGGCTCCTCCCCCTAGCTCGGACCAGCCTTTGTTCCCGAAGGTACCTATTACACCACCCGTGACATGACATCATCTTTGCTAACAACCTGCTTCGCACCTCCCTCTGCTTTCCTCCTTATGGATGCTCACAATACTCCTACATTATTTAAAAAAGCAAGCATATTGTATAGTTGAATAAGTGAGTGTTCATTACACAGTGTACAGCCTGTTCTATAACGCAGTAGTTGCACTCTTGAAGAACACCACGTCATGGGAAAAATCACATAATATATAAAGTAGGGTAAAGCACAGTCTGCGATAACACATGAGATGCGTACGCAGACTAAACAAAGACTGAGGTGCGTGGGTAGCATCTAGAAGTATCCAGCAGCATCGTGCCTTGTGCGATGTGACGCCGAGGCAGCCGTACAACCGCTTATTCCTACTCGCGTGATGTAGTTCCGGTCACTCAATTATATCCAATTCGCATTGGTGTTATAAAAAATGTTTTCCATATATCCAATTTGGATTATGAAAACATGCGTTACAGGGGAACAGACTGTAGTTCTTTTGATATCGTAGGTTTGAAGATAAAGACAGGGCTCTAAGTGTATTCGTGATTGAAGCAATTTCATTGCTTACCGTTTATGTTGGAAACATTATTTTTGTCCAAAGAATCATATCTAGAGAATGACTTTGCACGTGGACAAGCCATATATAATTAATCCTAATAAGTGAAAGTCAACTTGGTGTAAGTCAGTAATATGCATGCTCAGTATCAAGTATGAGAAATTGTGCTGTAAAGGCCCGGGATACAGCCATATTGGTTAAATGCTGTAGTATGACCTGAAGCAGGGTTTGGTCTCTCTTTTTCTGTCATCAAGCCAGTTGCATCCCTGATGAGACCTGGCCTTGAGGACTATATGTTATTTTGAGATGTGTCATAAAATGACGTTTTAAGGGAATTATTCAATCATTTAAAATGATTTAATTTGAAACCATATACATCGTACCAAAACATAACTCTTTTCTCCATGATACTATATTAAGCTACATACAGTTGAAGTTTTTCATCAGGCCCTGCCATTTTATGGTCACGTGGTTCTATGCACTCATATGCCCTTTGTAATTAGGAAAAGAAGGCTCATGTGGCCCGATCAGAAATATTTTAAGGCATTAAATTTCAGAAGCAGATACCCATTACATCGCCAGCCCCACTGCGGCGTGAAGTTACATATGATGTGTTCCATTACAGGAAAGCAGCCACACGGTGGCCTTCAGGAACGTGAGTTTAGGCCACACGAGTAGAGCGTTGACTTGTGCCACAATTCCTATTGATCGGAAGTGAAGCTCTTAAAGTATAAATACATTAATTTAAAAAAACCTTGTCATTATACATAGTGTTATTCTAACAGTAAACAAACCTGTCCATCAATATTTGTCAGGCCTGACTACTGTCCATTGCAGGTATTAACAATGGTAACTTGGGCAGCTACCTTTTTATTTTTGTAATTTAGTTTTATTGATCAAACCACTGGGGTGGGGGTGGTGTACAACTTCTGTGACAGTTGAGAGGCGCAGCTCGGACAGACAACCAACGCCGACGTCTAGGACTGTATTATGTGGTACGTCAGATCCCTTTTCTTCAGGGAAGGCGGGGGGGTCAGTCTCATTTCAAGTTCAATCACGTAAACTCGGGGTCTCTGGAGTGGCATTCACGAGGGGGCCCCAGATCTGGGTGAACTCACCTTCCCTCTTCCTCAGTTTCAGACTCCGGTGTTCTAAAGCTGCGAGGACGAATAGGGAGTTATGCCAGAGGGTGAATGAGGGTGCTCATGAAGAAGAGTGTTGGTGCCTGGTGATACCTTGGGGTTTAAGGCCCAGGAGGGAGGATTCAATGCTAGGTAGTATCTTGGTGCCAGACATCATATAGAGATTTCGGTTATTTTATCATCGAATGTCCTGATGGTGGGACAGTCCCAGAAGGCGTGAATATACGTTTAGATGGTGTTGGCCAACTACCTTAATTTAAACTTTCCATGCAAAATATAACAACAAAGACACCGCTGCTGATCACTTTAAACTTTCCAATGTACATTTTTTTCACCTAAAATGTCATAAAATAACATCGCTTCATCTGTGACAAGTATAATTGCCTTTCTGCTAATAATATATGGCCCTCATTGGTAATCTGGTGGCCTCCAAGTTTTGTGTATGAACTTTGTGAGAAATAGATACGTTCCATGCACCATGGAATGTGAGCACAACTTTCTTAATGTATGTATGTTGAACTTATTTTTCGCCCGTACGTAGCCAACCGTGCTAATACAGCAACACAAGCCACGTTATAAAACAAATATATTTATTGGCATGCCTCTTCGCGGGCAGATTTCAAAAATAAGCAACATTTATTACGTTTATATTTAATATTTGCTTTAAATGTGCAGGAAAGTGATGAGGACATTTCTCTGAGTTAACGACGGCACATGGTGGTGGCCATACATTTTTTGGTTTAGAGAAAACCTAGATTTTTTAAAAAATACCTCAGTGAACAAAAAGTCTAGATCTTCAAAAGGCAGGAGACTGGAGCTGATATTACTCTGCTGATGTTATCCGTGGCTGTAAATTGAACTCGGATCACCACATTCACAGTGCAGTGTGATAACTACTGCACCAATCCTTCATGTAACTCCCTGTAAACACCTCAACAATAATCCATAATCAAGGTTTGCTTGGGTTATATCGTGTAAATATAAATGTATCATGGGACCTTTTTACCGGTATGAAAAATAAAATGTTTTATCCTTCCTGGCAATAAAACAGGTGTTAAGATGTTCAAACACCAAATAGAACCCTTTTGCAAGAAATCGTGTCTGCGTTAATCACACACGATACTTGTGGTGAACATGCAAACAAACACGTGGCTCTGCTAATATATGCACTGCCCTTGAAACTGATTGGCCCACACCAGAGAGACAGCCTCCTTTATGGCATAGGCTAACCAGTGTCAAGGCCAGGGAATGCCAAAAGGCGAACAGCACAAAGACAATGCACGTATATCAGAGCATTTTAACAACTTTGATTTCCATAAAGGGTAAAACCTATTATTTTTTATTTATATTTGTCCTTAAACCAGTCACCACCCGACACAGCCAATCAGTCACGTAAACATAATGTGCCAATTAGTTACTACTTCAGCACAACATTTACAATTCGAGTATGACGTTTCGCCGGTGATTACAACCAGCCTCATCAGGCGATTAGCCAGAATTGTGGCCTACGTGTTAAACTGATCTCAACTATGAATTTCCCATAATTCACAAATTAAAACTGTCGACATCAAAAGAGAAACCTCAAATTGCATCAATACTGCAAGTAATCATGAAGAGCCTGTTCTCATTAAAATCGAGAGTACAACAGTAACATGTTATTATAATTAAGGTATGCTTATTTTAAAGCATTTCATGTGACTGGTGGGTCAATCACGTGACTGATATGTGAAGCTGTACATGGGTTGACACAACACACTTTCTCTGATGCAAATTACATATCTGTCCAAGATTATTTTTTAAATATCGCAAACACAACATCCGCTAACTAATACACACCTTTTACAGCCACATGATATATGTAAAATTTAAATGCTATATATATGCCAGGCGGTTTTCCACTAGTAATGGCACCTGATTGCAGTCGAAGGTGAACAATATTTACGCGCAGCCCTCCTTGTCTAAAAAAAAACATTCACTTTGAATGCTAATGTTTGTATGAACTGATTTACAATATTTGAATAAATACTTTATGGAAACGATTTTTACACCTCATGCATGAATAATAATTTTAGTAAATTTTGCAAAACAAAGTGTCAGATACACAACATGTTGAAATCCATTGTAATTACCTTTTAAATTAAAATTGCCCAAGGTAATTATCAGCTGGTGCACATAAAACATAAATATGCCCCCACTGTTGTAGATTACACATTCAACATGTTTAAAATAGACATTGCTTTTACTTGATTTTAATGTTATGGTGGTAGAATGTCAGTAGATGTGTAATTTGCAGGCAAGGTCTTCAGTTTAAATATAAACGCATGTTAAACAATTCTCGTTATGATATTTAAATACCTTGTTCGTTTTTCACAAGCACATGCTCATGAAACGCGATGGCAGCGCAATAGAGTGCGTGTATTCTCATGTTGATCTGTCTTCATCTTGACCGTGGTAAGGATCATCAAGATCAGACATTTCATTTGTGAGGCATCGGTACATGGTTACGCAAGGTCGAGAATTGGTAATCATGGCATAACACCAAGTACAAAATTACCTTCACTTATCAACTATTTCACGAGGTCTTTAACGTCTGTTATGGAGCAGGTGGTACACTCTGGACATGACCCACAGCATTAGTCAAACCATCAGCATGTACAAAACTCTTTGGCACTTGTCGTGACGGGTACTGTAAGATCCGTCCAGTGCTCACCAAGCCGCCATTGGCTTCTGGTTACCGAACGAATACATTATAAGGTCGCACTCATTACATATATAAGTGATTGCCACAAATGAACCACAATACCTTGCTGATCTCATCAAAGGAGCATAAACCATCACGTGAAGTCCGGTTATCCTTGCAACGACTTGGCTGGCCATCGAACAAAAACGGTCACCGCATTGCGCACTTTCAGATGCGCTTCTGCGGTGCGTCTGGAACGTTCTCCCTTCCGATATTAGGAAGCCACTGGAGCTGTGTACTTTAAAATCTAGGTTAAAAAATAATTTCTTATAAACTATTTTTTGCCTTTAAAGAAATTTAGCGTACGTACATACGTACAACAATGCTGTGCACACGAGCCCAGAAGCCATGCACGCTGCCCATGAGGCTTCCAGCATCAGCGTTCAGTTAGACGCGGTGCCCTGTCAGCCACCACCCCAAAGTCACACAAAAAACAATTTAACTATTGTGCTGCATTTCTGAAGTATATATCGTATTAACTTTCTACAAATTCATTTTAAAAAGTGCTTTCTATGTCAGAAATTACTGTGCAATTAAAATTCATGAGGTAAAATAACCTCCCATCACGTGACACGAGGGAATGGACGCTCCATCTGGTCACGTCGATTAGGTTTCTCTGACCCAACGCAAGAGGCACACGGTAATGCTGCGTGAAGTGTGTGTTCACCATGCCAACTCTCTGATATGTTTATATCTGTACATTTTAGCTGAATGTGCTCGGCTAATTACAGTGACGCTCGATAATCATTTTTTTTTTGTGCAGCGCCGAGAACACAAACTCACCGCAGGTGAGAACACGGTCTGATCCTTGCGGTCAATTCTGGTGGCCACGCAGATTTCCACCCAGGATCTCAGTGCTGGTTCAGGATTGACGAGGCTCTTAACTCCCTGAGCCACCAACACAACATCTAGAAAAGTGCTCTGTGTAAAATATATTTGTTGTCCATTAACATACTTGACAACGAACCCAGCTCATTGCTCCACTATGTCCAACCCAATTTTTTTCGAGCGACACGTTTCCCCATTAATGCCCCGCCGATTGAGACAAAGCTGAGCCAGCCCAGTGCCCCGATACCTGAGCTTTACAAGCAGCCACTAAGAGAGTGAACTTGACTTGTGCCGGCTTCGCCTCCTTGTGCCAAAGCCACGCAATCAAAGTGTCCATTAATACAGTGTATTCCTACGGCCCTAAAGTGTAAAATCATTTGTAAAACGAAGTAAAAATCTGAATATTGTTATCCTCCTAGGCTGTGGAGGTTCCTATCGCAACATATGCCGTAAATGTAATGTTTCATGGCCGAAACTATAAATAGTAAATATTGATGATGACTTTCCCTTTTGATCATTTATAGCGTAACACTGCACTGGCAGTGAAGCTGTCACTATGCCTGTGATAAGAGAGGCACGGCATTCTCAAATAATTGTAAAAGTAAAACAATCAAATTATTGCCTACATCTCGGTCAAGGTCAAAAAGTCATAGCAGAAAATGGCATTGATGCGATGAAACGTCGTCAGTGCCTACTTCCTTTATAAATACAGTTTTAAACATAGGAGTCTCTTCTTCCCTTTGGATATGCTCTCCAAAATTATATACATCTCAAATCAAGAGGCGTACATTCACGCGTATGGCTCAAGCTGTAAGACGACTAGATTTAAATTGCTGGTTCGTTGATCGAACCACAACATATTGCTAAATGTCACATGTTAATCAATTGCAGTATTCTCATAAAAAAATCCTCAACATTGTACCATCCCAATTGTCGCTGTCAGCACAAAGGTCCCGGAATAAGCAATGTTCCACTGTGGATCCCTCCTGTGATCAGAAGTTCCACACGTCAACCCCGTATGATGCGCGACACGCAGGAAGGCACCTTTGGCTCCTTTGCCTGACAATCTCCGACAGTCTGTGCTACCACAATGAACACCATCTTTGTTGCCGACAGATGACCCCCCCCCCCCCCCTCCGTAGCTTTCGGGCTTTAATGACTACAGTGTGCAATTGGTCATTAAGGGCTTGTGTTTCTTCGTGCAGTGCGTGGAGCGTGGGGTGGAGAGCATCGCAAGGATGATGTCAACTTCCCCGCGGGTGGGGTGTTAGTAACACCACAGCACGTGGCCATCAAGGGCATCGACGAGTATACCAAGGAGCCAATTAAAATAGGATTCAGGAATGTGTACATTTGCACAATCCACTTCACCATCCCACATGGTCCTAAGAACACATGGGGGGGGCTACTTAATTGTCCTCGTTTGCGGGGCGAGCGGCTCTGTCCGTTTCGTTCATCTGCAGTGCTTTTCGCAAACATGCTGCGTTTATACTTCTAATCAACTCCACAGAGGGCCGCGCGCTCTTCGCTCGTCGAGAATCTCGATCGGCGGCAGCGCTCGGTTGTTAGCTTCGCAGATTTCACCGCGTCATGCTGGAATTTCGCAGACGGGACGGGAAGCGGAGCATCGGTGGTGGGAAGCGGAGCATGTTGCGCGCGACGGCCCCGACGAGCCAAAACAATCCGTACGGGCGCTGGCGGGCTCGGGGCGGGCGGGAGGGGCTCGCCGCTGAGTCGGCTAGTCGGCGCTGCTGTACATGGGGTTCTCCCACGACTGCTTGGCGAGCATCATCCCCCGCTTGAGTTGCTCGAACGTCACGAACATCACGATGTTCCAGGAGCCGAGGCGCAGGAACGAGGGGATGAAGCTGCGGGGAGGGCAGAGCGAGCACGACTCCGGTTAGCATACGGTTGGCTGCATACCGTGCGAAAGAAGTTCAAAGTACATACGTACACATTATGCAGCTTCAGCCTGGGCTACAGTCCTGTCATGGCAGAACGGGCCACTAATGATCCCAAAGTTGTGCATTCAAAGGTCTTTCAGAGATTGTCTCAACTAAAGATATCTTTGGGGTCAATAAAAATAAGCGTGCCACGGTGGCGAGATGTTAACTACCTCGCCTGGTATACAGGAGGTTGTGGACTCGATCCCGACCCTGGCAACTGCATGTTTGGAGTTTTCATGTTCTCTTTCTCTCCCTGTGGTCGCGTGGATTTTTATCCGGGTCCTCTGGTTTTTCTCTCCACATTTAGAATCAACATCACGCGTTTAGAGTATTTGGCTGCTATACATTTCCACGTGATAAGCCACTAAATTGAGCTATCATTTGTGGCCAGGTCACTTCTGAAAAAAGCTACATAGCTCAGGGGGGCTTACCTGGTAAATAAAAAATGGTGTAGTCTCAGTTTAGTTTTAGTTTGGTGCCACTTTGTGGTTGTATTATTGATTCATGGGCCTTCACTACCGAAATGTGCAATTTTTTCCACGGGTGTTGAGCCACTAGTGAAGATGAGCATCGCTCAACACACCTGGAGACAGACACTTTGGTTCACACTAATGAGACCAACTTTATGAACCTGCGAGAGCCAGCTGAAATTGCTTTTAGAAGTGATCCATTAAAAATGTTTTAGGTTCAGACAAAATCCGTTTTAATTGTGGGTAATTTCAAATGTGGAATTTTACTCACGGTCTTTAATGCTCAGCTGTTAGCACAAACTCCGTCTCGCCTAATCCGATGCCGAAATCGTTGGGCAGCACTGGTCAATGAAACATTAACGATGCCAACTGGATTAGTGACTTCTAGTTGAAGGTGAATTGACAACTTGCTTCGAACAAAGTTATCGATTACTTATACAGTACGTGTACTGAATTAATAGCGTCATTCTGACGCTATTAATATCATTTAATATAAAAAAAAATCAGCTGCATGACTCGACACTGCTCACCACCCCCAACCCTGAAGGCGCTCACAGGTGCATTCCATGAATATTTGTTTTTCTGATCAGCCGTAACACTGGCGTTTACCACAATGTCAGGCACGCTACTGAAAGATGCATTTACACCACGCCTGACTAAACTGACTGGATATTATATTTGCATGTACAGAGCAATTAATCAAACACACGTCGTCACACTTTTATCAAACATAGTGCGCACACATCGGTGTGGCACTGGGACAGAACACCATGAAGATAAAGGTGCCGCCCTGAAATCGCTCGCTCACGTTACTGCTGGCTCTAGAGAGCCCGTCTAAAGGGTGTTTTGGCCTACTCTTCCACTCTGGCCAGACATCTTCGAAGAGGTGGGAGTACATACAATTTGCCCTACCACACGTGAGCTGCCAATCGACTAACTGGTGCACCAATTAACACTGCTGGGTGGACAGAGGCATTGTGGGGAATTCAATAAGCCTGCACCATTTTTTCAACTGCCATGCGTGGAGACTGTGCCGACTACATCTGGATTGCATTCTGTGTTTCGTACACGTGTTATAGTATCTGATTGGGCAGAGCTGTCGCCAAAGAGCGTGACTCGCAATGAGAAATATAGTTTTTAACACGTAGGATTTCACAGCCAATATCCATAATAAAGGTGTTTTTGGGTTAGATCGCGTAAATATAAATGGGTTGTTAAACCCACCACCACCCGACACAGCCAAACAGTAAGGTTTGTCACGTAAACAAAACGTGCCAATTTGGTATAACTTCAGCGCACCGGTGTGTTGAGAGTAAACCCACAACATTTACAATTCAAGTGCGACGTTCCGCTGGTGATTACAGCAACCAGCCTCATCAGGCGACAACTAGAGTTGTGAAGAAGTCCTCCTGTTTCGTTCTTAAATATGCGAGTTGAAGTACTGGGCATGAGTGGATTGAGCCGAGCATCTATAGGTGTTGAGAACGTAAGAACCAATTTTTAAACGTCAACAGTGGCCATCCTGTGCAGTGATTGGCCTCAGTCATGGGAAGGAGGAATTTACAGCCACTAGCTCAGGGCTGGCTAAGGAGATTAGCACGGCCACATTGCTTGCTTGCGCATGAAGACACAGAGACTTTCGCTATGTACCCCAAAAAATCACCTACCCTAATTATAAGGTCACATTCCCCTAAATCATCACCTACCCTTAGTAGAATACCATGTACCCCTACATAAAAACCCACCCTAATTATAATGTCATGTAGCCCTCCATAATCACCTACCCTTAGTAGAATACCATGTACCCCTACATAATCACCTACCCTTTGTAGAAGGCCGTGGGCCCCTCCATGGAGATGAGGCACAGCGCGCAGTTCATGGCGCTGCGGTACTGCCCGGGCTTGGAGTTCATGTAGCGCGTCTTCACCACGTCCACGGGCGACGCCACCACGGTGGCGCAGAAGCCAGCGCCGAACGCCGCGACGAGGTGGCACGGCAGGTTGTCTGCGGGGCGCAAGTTTTGGCATTCCGATTTTGAGGGGGGGGGGTTGATTTTAACTGCTTGAAGAATTTCCAAGTAAAGCACCCTCAGACGGCAGCTAAAACCTCGATTCGGTGATATCGAGAGAGAGAGAGAGAAAAATTGACCTAAAGGCACACTTGTTTTGGTCAAAATGTGTTTGATTTTAAGAGTGGCATTGTACGAAGACTCGTGATGTTTTCGCAAGCGATGTACACGAATCTCGTAAAAGTGGCTGAAAAGTACGACATTAATGCAGCTTCAAACACATTTTTTGAAATATAGGATGTATGTTACTGCTATTTCACATCAATATTCAGCAACACGTTTTGACACGCGACTTGCTATTCATAATACACAAGTATATCCTGTGGTTATGATCTAAATTGGTTCTTTTATTTGGGTGGGACGGCAACACTTGTCTCTTCGTACAGCAAACCCTAAAATCTGGCTCGTCGGGTTCCCATGCCCATTGGCTCGAGGGTACTGCATGAGTCAATTCACGAAGCTCTCAGTGATTTGAATCAACTGGGACCGGACCTAATTCAAAACAAACTTTACATTTTTGATGATCCATTATAGACTTCGAAATTGAAAACTAATCTCTTTAGGGCAGCTCTTTTGTGTTTAGTTCGTTGTCCTTCCCACGCACCGCCGATTATCACGGCTGGATACGTACGGTGCGAAAGAAGCTCGACATGGATGCAAACGAGCTAGAGTATGTTTAATTAATGAATTCGCCAAACAAGCTCGCGACATTTTTTGCACATATACCATCCAAGTATTATAGAGAGCAATGTATATTACATATTGATCGTTCGTGGCCCTTGGTCAATCCAATGCTGGATGAAGGCTCCCCTCAATCTGTGTCGGGCATAGACCACACCTCACCATCTTATTTCTCGTATCACAAACCGCCCACGTGAATATATCCCCGCGGGCGGGCGTTACCCCACGTGTTACCTACCCGTCAGCAGATTGTGCTTGAGGAGGGTCTCCTTGATGATGTCGTACGTCACCAGCTCGCCGCAGTTCACGATGGCGTTCCGCGTGATGTTCGGCAGGGTGCCTGTCACAGCAGTCACAAGTACATTAGGGGCCGTCCATAAATGACGTCACACGATTTTGGACGATTTTTGACCCCCCCCCCCCCTTTCGTCACACGGCGTCACAAAAAGTCAGACCCCCCCTCAAATATGACGTCACAAAGCTCTGCCCCCCCCCCCAAAAAAAACATGCTTCAAATCGCGTATTTAATGTGGCGCTGTACTTTAATGTTGTAGGAGAAAATATTTATTAAAAAGTCTATGTAATTACGTAGAACGTGTCGTCTAGATTTATTTAAAGTTGCACATTTTGATGTGACGTCACATTTCTCACCTCCCCCATCGTCACACATCGTCACAAATGTCTGACCCCCCCCCCCCCCCCAGGTGCGTGACGTCATTTATGGACGGCCCCTTAGCGGGAGTTCATCGCTGTGCACAGGGCCATGGCTTGCGTCAACTGACCACCTCATCCCTCAATTCCCCACCTCGTTCCTGCCTACAAGGCTACATCCAGGTTAATTGATTTCCCTGAATTTTTTATTTGTAAGTTTTAATAGTATAACCTTTTAATAGTCAAGGCTTTATTTCTGTGCACACACAGGGACCATTTAATTCCCACACAATTAGGAAATGCATTATCTTATCCGGGATTTATATGAAACTTTTGTAAAAGCGCTTTACAAGAATTATAAATGGTCAATTAGTTATAGGCTGATGGGGAAATTGGATTTGAGTGTTGGAGAGGGGAAGGGAAGGCAAGGAAGGGTGATGATAGGGAAAGGGAGGAGCGAGGTTAGGATGGTGAACTGAGAGCGTGATTAAGGTTTTAAGGACGGGGACGGGAAGTAGTAGGGGAACATCTTATCCGTGTCATCTGCTTAAAACGTTGTTTTAAGAACCTCGTGACATTGCTTGCATGAGTAGACTGTTGGGTATCGATGTCATCCACATATTTAGAACTTTGACCAACAACATCCCGCTAATTACTCAAACAGAAACATTAGTTTTTTCCGAGAGTGAACTGAAACAAAAATCTTTCCTCATTTTGTTTGACATGAGAATAGTGTAGTTTCCTTCACATCGACAATTCAGTGCACAAACTTCACAATGAGAAGGTAGGTATTGTTATTTGACTTGACACGAGTGAGTGCTGGCGGCACAAGGGCCCCGAGAATGACGAGCCCCCACTGGTCACCGCTGGTTGCTTCTGAAAAAGCAGCTACTAGCTCAGTGGGCTTTACCTGGTAAGATAAAAAAGAATTGTATGTTATTTTTAAGCGAATTATTTCGCTTTCACATACTTTACACCCCTATGTGTTTTTCTACTGTTGTTGTAACGTTCTGACCGCCCCTACTACCTCACCTGGTATACAAGAGGCTGTGGATTCAATCCCTACCCTGACTCCTCCTGTATATTTGGAGTTTGCATGTTCTCCCTGTGGTCGTGTGGATTTTTCTCTGTATTCTCAGATTTTTCCCTCCACATTTACAAACATTCGTTTAGAGTATTTGGCTGCTACAAATTTTCACGTGATTAGCCACTTTCTTTGAGCTATCATTTGTGGCCAGATCACTTCTGAAAAAGAGCTACATAGCTCAGTGGGCCTTACCTGGTAAAAAAGAAATAGTTTAGTTTAGTTTTTAATAGCTCATAGGATTCTTCCGGCGTAAATACATTCTCATTGTGAGCTGGGCCCCACGTGACGACAGCACCCTGCAACAGCAGCAGCAGCAGCAGCAGCCACGCGCGCACCTTTCCACAGGCCCCGAACGCCTTCCTCACGGCCGATGGTGCGGTAGGCGGTGAAGGCGCTCGTGTAGCGGCGCGGCATGCCGAGCTCGCTCCGCTGGGCCTGGAAGCGAACCTTGACCACGTCCGTGGGCTGCGCGATGGCTACGGCCAAGCCGCCTGTTGTGCAACCGGCCAGGATCTTGGTCATCATGCCCGCCTCTGCAGCACACGGGGACAGCCTTCGTTACGACTCGAGATCAAGGTCAAGAGGTCATTGCAGCCAGTCTCAATGATGCCATTGTGCCTCGCCTTCATTCTGCCATATCCTGTAATGACAAGTGACTGGTAAACTGGCTGAGGCATGGAGCAATATTCCCAGGCACCGCAAACTCCGAGGTTGACTGGAGAGAGGAGAATAAATGGGTGTACGCCACAGGCTCGAGAAGAGGTGGGTCAAATGTGGTGTACGAGGGCTTGAAGATGACCGGGAAACAAAGACGGCCAGGTGTGGTGCTCGCCACAACCCCCTCTTCGTGCGCCATGCTGACCTTAATAGGCACTCGCTAATGGTGCCTGCCCCAAGTGGCGCTGCGCTACGAACCTGGCGACCCGGGTTCGATTCCCGCTAACGCCCAACACCAGTGACGATTAGCTGAACCGGTCCTGGGCCTCCCCTAGGTCAACTCAGCCTCAAATGAGTACCTGGTACAGTATGTAAACATTGGCACTAGGGATACAAAGGCGGCCGGGCGTGGTGCTGGCCACCCACCCCCTCGTGTGCCATAAGTGCTTGCTAACAGAACTTGCCCCAACAGTCTGTTAAGGCTACACGGAGGATCTTTGTCTTTGTGAGTGTGTGCGCTGTGCCCGCTCACGTTCTCCCCCCCTGGTGTAGAAGTCCTTGACGGTGTCGTAGAGGCCGATGCGGATGGACGCGAAGCACATCTGGCGCTGCAGGCCGGCCACCAGCCCATTGTAGAGGCTGCGGGGGCCCTCCGTGCGCACCATGGAGGCGATGGTGCCCACCAGGCCCCTCTGCCGCACGACTCCCGGCGCCAACGCACTGCCACAGGGCGTCTCCCCCTGGATCTATCGGGGTGCGGGGGGGTAACGACACACGGGCGGTCTTTTGCACGTCACTTAATTTCGCACCGTGCGTAGCCAACCACACTCATCGGAGGTGCGGGTGAAAGACAAGAAACTAAACACACACAAAAGCAGTGATAGAGAAATTATTTTCAATCTAGATGATGATTTGAAAGTGGACAGCTCCGGTCGCTTCCGAATATCGTAAGGAAGAGCATTCCAGACGGGCTGCAGAAGCGCATCTGAAAGCTCGCGGTGCGGTGCATGAGCGCCAAAGCCACTCCTGAGCTCTGCGCAGTACCTGGCCAGGCATGGTGCTGCACGCCACTGAAACTCTCAAACCGGCTAGGCTGTGCAGTGGCGAGGATATGGCAGCACATGGAAATGAGCAGTTAAGCGGTCTGTGCGGACCATTCAGCGTAGTTTCCTCATTGTGTGGCGGGTTGTCTCCGGCCATTCCGGTTTTCTCCCACATTTGCAAAACATTCATTAAAGGAATTGGCCAACTGTCGCAGTATGGGACTCTCCTGAAATTGAGTCCTGAAAACCCGGCGAGGCTTAACTGGGCAAATAAATCATATCGTTACAATTATTGGGTTATTATATATAATGTATGTCTTGCTCTCAAACAAATATAACGTTTCATGCCACAACTGCTCTCCACTCTTTCCTAGATTCCATCAGATCTTGAAACTCAATCGAAAAATCACCCTTTACTTGTTTATGGGAAAGCCCCATTGAGATCCCAAGGTTCACTATGAACAGCATCGCACAATTTCACACAACGTGGCCTTGACAATCCGATTCTCACCCTGGAGTGCCAATGACCTAGCCTCCTCCATTCTGCACCCAACACAACCTCCTCGTTCTGATTCAGCCAACAGAACTTTACAGACACTCTTCCGCTCCAACTTGCAAGTTGTTTACCCTATTCTGCGCAAGAAATAACTCCACATCCTTTTGTAGTTTTCTTACACTCAAACGACTGCAGCTCGGTAAGATTTCACTCACTTCTAACGTAGACTCTTTCTTCGTGCCTCAAAAACTTCCTGGAACAATATTGTTGGCCGTACCCAGTTTATTACACTTCACCACTGAAGCAAAACACCTCTTACCTTCCTGCTCACATACAACATTGTGCGTGCATCGTTTTATTACTCCTGACACGTCTGACATGTGAATCACACGAGATGGTAAACATCGGACGAGCTGTAAATAGCTCGTCAAGACGATGCTGTTTTCAGTGCCAAGCCAAACCAGGAAATCAACTCATCGATGAAACGAAAACAATATTAAAATGTTATTATTTTTATTAAATTTGCATCACATTGGTGGAGAACCCGTTGGTCTGCAACAGAAAATTAGAACTCACAATCCTGTAGTCAGAGCACTGAAATTAATATTCTTTTAAGTACTGTAAAAAATGCCAGGATAATATTTACTGTATTGTGATGTTTTTTTTATATTCTCTAGAATGTAAAGAATATTCTTGCGAAAGAATTACATAAATAGGAGCACAAAATAAAAAAATAGAGCTTTTTTGTTTTCGCCAAACTTATTTAGCCGTTTCAATGTAACTCAGTGTTTAAATGTTGACTAAAAACTTTCGTGACTGCAGGAATTCCTATACTTTGGGTCTTTCGGTAAAGTCACGTAGATAGGTTCAAAGAAAAAAACTACGACGTTCCTGATGACGAACGCTTGTGTTGCGATGGAAACGTAGTTTTTTGTTATTTTCTGTAATTTTCTTTGAACCTATCTACATGACCCAAAGAATATGAACTCAATGTTTATTTGCCACATGGAAAATCTTGTTTAGCCAGTTACCCAACTACTTTCGGTGGCAATAGCCCGCAGTAGCCACTACCAACAGAGTTACCGTGGGGGTGAAGAGAAGCCCAGCAAGCAGCCAGCCAGGAAACTCGAGGCATAGATAATTTTTAATAGTACATGTAGTATGATTATTCGAGAAACTGTTTGCCACAAAAGCTCCAAATGATTAAAAACTACCAAAAAAAGGTATTGATGTTGGTCCATCTCTCACACTGGACATTTAACAACACTTGTGTAACAACAGCTGCACTTTGTGGGAAGAGTTAATATTTGAGTTGCGGAGTGCATGTGACGCAAGTGTAACCGAGGCTCGAGAGGGCAGCTCCACGCCCATGTGTGCAGAGAGCATGTGAGACGCACAACGACTTTGTGTACGGAAACTGCTTTATTTGCGTTAAACGGGCTCCCACATTCTCTCGCCAATGACATCTGGTGATCCAGCAGTGTTTGTTTCACAAACCGGACTGCTGATGAGACTCGGATGGCCGATACCGGTCCAGAGTTTGGTCGCCTAGACGGGTGCTGCCTTTGTCTCCCCAGTGAGGCTGAGTCGACCTAGGGGAGGCCCAGGACCGGTTAAAATAATCGTCACCGGTGGTGGCCGTGAGCGGGAATCGAACTCGGGTCGCCGGGTTCGTAGCGCAGCACGCTAACCATTACACTACAATGCGTTACGCTTCCACATGCGCGGGTCACGTGACAGATTTGACGTCACAGCTCAATTGCCGTGCTAAAAATAAATGCATTATTGAGCTCCCCCCCACAAAAAAGTTTTTTTTTATTGCATGGTGTACAGTCTGGAAAGTACCCACATGGCAAATTTCAAGTTTGTTGCATGTCGGGAAGTACGCTAAACATTTTGAACACACAATCACAAGTTTGCCTTTTATATATATGGAGATGTGTCGAGACAGAACGGAGTTCTGCTTTATCCACTGTGTTTTCGCGTAAATGGAGAACACGTTCACGTCCCAGATGTAGCCCTTACCTGGAGGCGAACTTTGGCTGTGTCCAGAGGGAAGGTGATCATGTCCGCCACGCACGCTGCCGTGCCAGCACTCAGGAACTTGACACCCAGGGTGGGTTGCACATCGGTCGGCTTGAATCCAACCATCTTGAGACTGGCAGAGTGATCGGCGAAGATTCCAAGAACAGCGAAGCTCCCAAGGACACTCGTGCCTGAGGACGATGGCAAAACATCAATGGTCAAGACTCCACAGAGCGTACAACATTAACACGAGGGCCATGTTCATCTTATTGCCTGGATTATAAAACTCACTTCCTTCCCTTGTATTTTAAAGTAAACATTTGGGGTGCGTCTTATACTTGGGCAGGTGTGTGTTTTGCGCGTGACCAGATTTGTTATTTTTTTTTTCGACACGGGGCACAAGTTTGGTTTCCGGAGCACCTTATGATCTGGAGAATACGGTGCATCAGCTAGCCAGGTGATGCTGTGGAGCGCCGGGCGGCTACAGGATGCGAGTTCAAATTATGGTCGGAGATCGACTCAGAAAATCAAATCGTTCAGGTCAATAGCTTCGTATTTAGAACAAGCAATCTTGATGTTTTTTTCACCAAGTGGTACTCATTTTACTGCTCATGGAGGAGACTGAGTCAACCACTGGCCAGTAATTTTTTTTTATTAAATGGTCAGTGTCCCCGCCGCTTAAATGCGCGACATGCTGGTGCCCAACGCCACCGGTGGCTCCGAGCAAGCGCCGAAGTGTCCTCATTGCAAGCGCTCCTCTCTCCGGAGCGCCGCCACGATTGGCTTCCCACAAAGTAGTCGTGAATGTATCGACGCAACTGAGGATTTGTACGTAAGCAATTCCAATTGTGAGTGGACGACTCGATACAAAGTCACCATGTGGGAGAGGTGTGCTCACCTCCCATATTCAGCATTGATTGCTAAATGGGAATTCCACATTTGTATGGAGGGGGAATAGTGACTACGTCGGAGCAGATTTGTAGTAACTGGACAAACATTGCCCCTATAAGCACAACTCATGTTTCACTCTGTTTCAAATCGCCAAGAGTACGTGGGAGATAATTATCAACAAGAACACATTCTTACGTGGTATTAAACACACGACTGTGCCTCTTGCTACTCAGCGAACTTTTAACGATTGTAATGAGAACCGTACGTGACTGCTTCCAACTTCAATTACACACTGAGTGATCAGTTATCCAGCACATCAAGGAAGAGTGGTCCTGCACCGAGAATGCGTAAACGCAGCCGCTGACGGGAGGGGAATGAGGATGTTTTTCTCTAAAGCACTCTCAGCCTGTACTCACATCCACATTCCACCACCCATCCCGTGATGTTTGATGTTAATAAAAGTCTAATAAAATGTATGTTTCAAAAAGCCACTTGTCGTGACAAAAAAAAAACGCACGTGTCACCAAAATGAAAGAAATGTACGTGATTGTGCAAAATTATCATTGTATTATCTGGATATGGGAAAGTCACACACATACCATCACGTGCATACACAGAGACACACACACTCGGACATATGGTCACAAGGCAAGAGACAAATATTCCCCATGTAGCCTTTATTAGACTGCTGGGGCAAGTGTTGTCTGTGAGCACCTATTAAGGCCCGCAAGGCGAAGAGGTGGGTGGCCAGTTCAGAAAGAAGTTCAACAACATGCATGCATAACATCACGCCCTGGTCGCCTTTGTCTCCCAAGTGCTGATGTTATACATACCCCACCAGGTACTCATTTAAGGCTAAGTCTACCTATGGGGGAGGGGGAACGCCGGTTCAGATATTTGCCGTTGTTAATGGTCGTGAGCGGGAATCGAACTCGGGTCGGCGGATTCCGAAGCACGGTGCGCTAAACACTACGCTGCCTCGCCGCACATGACCACACGGTCAAATATATAGTAGAGATGTCACGCGCGCATATCATCATTCGTACACATTCAGTCACAGACACCACGAACCAGGCTATTAATATCCAGAGACATACACGTTACATAGTCATACACATATTGCCACGGCATCTTGGGGAAACATCATACATACACACAAAGGCAAAGATCACCCATATAGCCTTTGCCACTGTTAGAGAAAGTGCTGTACACACACACACATATGCACACAATCATACATACACAACCGCATTCATGATCACGCACACGTATACATCATAAACGAACATATACACGACTTAACACAATAACATAATCATGGATGCGTACATAAATATAGAGTCCACACATACACGAGTTCTATTATATAACCACATAATTACACATACACATGATCACATCTACACAAGACCATACACTTGGCAACACAAAGAAAAGACCAGTCACATCGAACCACATGACCACTCAATTTACCCATCACACAGATACGATAACGTACACATCAAAACTCTCACACACGTGCATATGATCACGTATACATTCACATCATCACTCATACATGCACACCATATATCACACACCATAACTCGCACACTAACATATGATCACTCATACATCATAACTCACACACGGACATATGATCACACACATACACGTGATCACACACTCACACGGACACATCATAACTCACACACACGTACATATGATCACTCACGCACACACGTGATCACACACTCACACGGACACATCATAACTCACACACACGTACATATGATCACTCACGCACACACACGATCGTACACTCACACAGACACATCATAACTCACTGACCACTCACATCGCCATCACTCACGCACACGCGCGCATCTCACGCTCGCACACCAACAATCGCCAAGTGGCAGTGACGTCACCGCGGCTCTTGTACCAGGCCACGTGCGCTTCGAGGCCACGCGAAGTGTTGAAGGCTCGCAGCCAGGAGGTCACGGGACCGACCCCGCCGGGTGCAGCCGTGGGGTTGACCGACTGAGACGAGACCCCCCCCCCCCACCTCCGCCAACAAGACCCACACACTCGACTCCACTCACCTGCCGCTACCGCTGCTGCTGCTGCGCTCAGCTGTTGAGGAATCTCAGCGCTGAGAGGCGGTGGCTCTCGGTGACAGCCGCTCACGCTGGCGGTAGAGGGCGCGCCGCTCGCTGACACTACCACTCACTCCGACTGCTGCTGCTCGCTGCTGGTGTGAGTGAAGTTCGTCGTGGTGGCCGTGGTGGTGGTGGTGGTGTTGGTGGTGGTGGCTTCCCCGTCGCCTCCCCCAGCCCGTTTTAAAGCGCACAGAGGCCAATCAGCTGCGTTGCTTCACTGGCGCTTGGGTCAGGCGAGGGGACACGCCACGTGCGGTTTGCACCGCCGACGCGATTATTCGAGGTGGGGGCTATTTTATTGTATCCTTCGCTTTCTTTACTAAAACGCAGTTGGCTCAGCACCGCTGGGCCTGAGCGTCAAGCGGCCAGCAGACGAACACGACGCGAGAGTGGACAGCATAAAACGCGCCTCCTCCAAGTGGGCGACCCTCTTCATTCCATCGGGGGCTTCGGGAGGAAGCGATACGGGACGACGATGGCGAGAGGGAATTCCAAAGTGGAGCAGTCGAGAGAGTTGTTTTTAAGTCATCAGAATGTTCATTTATCCTGGAGAAATCCGATGATCTGTGAAGCTCTATTCTTTTTTTGACAAATCTCCAGTAGGGGCACTGGGTCAGAAAGTTAAAAAATGCAAAACACAAACAACGATCGGAGTGTAAAGTATAGGAACGGTAAGCAAATCACAAAATAAATACGTAAAATAGATCAAGTACATGAGTTCACATTGCATAAGTACACCAAATATAGCAAGCTTTGGGCAAGGCAGTAAAACAACAGAAAATGTTAAGCAAGGCTGCAAAAAACTCAAATCTAAGAAAAGTGTTGTGGGTGAGTGGGTGAGCATGTGGTTGTCACCTGCAGTGTGGTGAGTGGGTGAGTGTGTTGTTGTCACCTGCAGTGTGGTGAGTGGGTGAGTGTGTGGTTGTCACCTGCAGTGTGGTGAGTGGGTGAGTGTGTGGTTGTCACCTGCAGTGTGGTGAGTATGTGGGTGAGTTGTATTGTTGTCACCTGCAGTGTGGTGAGTGGGTGAGTGTGTGATTGTCACCTGCAGTGTGGTGGGTGGGTGAGTGTGTGGTTGTGACCTACAGTGTGGTGAGTGGGTGAGTGTGTGGTTGTCACCTGCAGTGTGGTTAGTGGGTGAGTCTGTGATTCTCACCTGCAGTGTGGTGAGTGGGTGAGTGTGTTGTTGTGACCTGCAGTGTGGTGTGGGTGGGTGTGTGGTTGTCACCTGCAGTGTGGTGAGTGGGTGAGTGTGTGGTTGTCACCTGCAGTGTGGTGAGTGGGTGAGTCTGTGATTCTCACCTGCAGTGTGGTGAGTGGGTGAGTCTGTGATTCTCACCTGCAGTGTGGTGAGTGGGGGAGTATGTGGTTGTCACCTGCAGTATGGTAAGCGGGTAGAGTGTGTCGTTGTGACCTGCTCTGTGTTTGTTGAACACACCACTGACGATGAGACGACACAGTCTGATCACCCGAGCCATAGGAATGTGGAATTTCAACATCTGGCTCAGTGCTGTGAATAGGAGATGAGCACCACCTTAATGCTCATTTGAGCAGCGAATCACTCTGAGTAGGATTGTGTTTTCATCGTGCTTTGGGGCGCACGCTGAAGAGGAAATGGTATTTCCAATGTAGAACTACTGCAGATTCTGATTTTCCTGGTATGTATTTTGAACGTATTTCGCACCGTACAAAGCCAACCGTGCTAATCTAATGGAAATATAGTGACCAATGAGAGGTTTTACCTTTGGATCTAGGGGTCAGTTTGCTTACACAGATGATTCAGAATGTCTTTTGGACACGGTTTAGATTTACGAGGTATGAACTAGACATTGCTTTATCACCGGTTAAAATCGAGCAACAACATTTCCAACTTTGTTTTATTATGGACAAACTCCCAACTCATGTTTTGTCTATACACTAATAGAATTTGATCTACAGTTAAAGTGCCCCTGCGCAAATGTGAAATAGCGATTAACTCCAGTTGACGGCCCTGAGCCAGTGGTGAACATTCCACATTCCCATGGCGGGGGCAGAATATCCACATGACGACCACTATGGATGTTTTCCCAGGTGATAGCGTATCGACCCCGATGGAATGATAGGCCATCTAACACGAGTTCACTTTCCCTCTCTCTACTTGAAGCCGAGACCACACCGTCCCAGACGTCGCCCGGTTACCACGTGGGTAGAGCAGCATAAACTCTGCCCTTTGCCCTGTCCCCTGCACTCTCGCGTGTGTGTGTGTGGCACCGTTGGATGACAGCATTGTGCAAAAGCCGATGACGAAAAGAGATTTAGGACTTTCCCAAAGGACACATTTTCCTTGTCAAGGCCATTTATTTGCCACGTTTAAGGCCATGACACACTTCACTCGTGTTCATTCAAGGTAATGGTGGTGTGATTCCAGAAAACTTTATTTCAACAGAGCACACGTTTCCTGTAAGGGGTTAACACCATTACGGTTTCAGGACTTTTACGCAATGGCTTCTCCCCTTATCAGTTGGCACATTCTCAGTTCATGAATAGCAAAGTTCACTCTCATCAACGGGCACGATTGACTTCAGTCGACCGTGCAAAGATGCACAATCTACATGCGTTCACAAATAGTGATGCACACTCGAGTGCGTTGCAACCCTTTTAGAAAGTCCTGGACAATAGTGAATTCTGCATCAGAAAATGGTCATGACTGGATATCAAAACTGGATCCACCCTTGTTACTGTTGCTATTTCCATAGCAACAGAGGAAACGGGGCGTTGCCATGGATTTTTATTCATCTTAAAATGTGTATGTTTGTCGCCAGCTTAAGTTTTGCATTCATTATTACACTTAGAACATGATTGCTTAATACGCGAGTGCTTACTTATTGATCCTGTCTTAATGATTTAATTCCTGCATTGCCATGGCATCATTATTCTAAGTTCTACCCATCACAAATAGACGTCTGGTGACTAGCGATGGTTAAGCCGCTGCTGAATGAAGGCCTCCCCACACCATGACAGCGAAGCTCCCAAGAAAGGTGAAGCTCCCAAGGGCACTCGTGCCCAGGGACGATGAAACACCCAATCCTGAAAGAACATCAGCCGTTATGACTCCACAATGCGTACAACATAAACACGAGGGTCACGTTCATCGTATTATCTGGATTATAATACTCACTGGCCAGGCGATGCTGTGGAGCGCTGTACGGCTCAAGCATGCGAGTTCAATTCTGGTCGGAGGTCGACTCAGAAATCAAATCGTATTTAGGACAACCAATCTTGGCCTTTTCCACCAAGTGGTCCTCATTTTATTAACTATTGAGGAGACTGAGTCAACCACTGGCCAGTAATTTAAAATTAACTCATCAGTGTCCCCGCCGTCTAAATGCGCGACGTGCTGGAGCCCAACGCCACCGGTGGCTCCGAGCAAGCGCCGAAGTGTCCTCATTGCGAGCGCTCCTCTCTCCGTAGCGCCGCCACGATTGGCTTCCCACAAAGCAGTCGTGAATGTATCGACGCAACTGAGGATTTGTACGTAAGCAATTCCAATTGCGAGTCGACGACTCGATACAAAGTCACAGTGGAGGAGAGGTGTGCTCACCTCCCATGTTCAGCATCGATTGCTAAATGGGAATTCCACATTTGTATGGAGGGGGAAGTAGTGACTCCGTCGGAGTCGATTTGTAGTAACTGGACAAACAACATTGCACCTAAGCACAACTTGTGTTTCACTCTGTTTAAAATCGCCAAGCGCATGTTATAGCCCGTAACAACAAGAGTACGTGGGAGATAATTATCAACAAGAACACATTCTTACGTGGCATTACACACACGATTGTGCCGACTGCGACTCAGCATACTTTAGCGATTACAATGATAACCGTACGTGACTTCTTCCAAAGCAATTACACACTGAGTGATCAGTTATCCAGCACATCAAGGAAGCGTGGTCCTGCACCGAGAATGCGTAAACCCAGCCACTAACGGGAGGGGAATGAGGATGTTTTTCTCTATGCACTCTCAGCCTGTACTCACATCCCCATTCCACCACCCATCCTTGCTGATCTCATCAAGGAGCATAAACCATCACGCGCCCTTCGGTCATCCTCACAGCGGCTTTTGGCTCGCCATCGAACAAAGGTGGCCACTGCATCGCGCGCTTTCGAATGCGCTTCTGCGGCCGTCTGGAACGCTCTTTCTTCCGAAATTAGGAAGCCACTGGAGCTATGCACTTTTAAATAATCTAAATTGAAAACTAATTTCTTTATAACTGCTTTTTGTGTTTAGTGTGTTGTCCTTCCCTCGCACCTCTGATTAACACGGTCGGCTACGTACGGTGCGAAAGCATATATACAAACTGTGACGTGTGATTTTAATAAAAGTCTAAAATAAATATTAAAAACATGATATGACAAAAAACGCACGTGTCACCAAAATGAAAGTGTCATCTGTAGGGAATGCACATGACTGTGCACAATTATCATCGTATTATCTGGATACGGGGGAAAGTCACGAAAAAATCCCATCACGTTCATGCACAGAAAAGTTTGAGAACAGTATGAAAAATTTGCGTTTCTTACTAGGCAAGGACATCTATTTCTTAGTGTTCTACAGGTAATCCAATAAGGAAGATTGTTTGATGATTTAGCATTATTCCAGGCGACATGTCTAATTTTCATTCATTCAGAAATGTTTAGATCAAACCAGGGTGGATGATTACCCTTTATTCTACATTTTTAAGGCGGAATGTTTGTCAAGGATTTTTTTATATTTCCAAGCACTTTCAAAAAGTTTAACTTTGCTCACCATATACAGTGTCATCTATATACGCTTGAACGCCAACATTTTAAATGATCGTTTTCAAATGATATTATGAGGTGTTTTAGTTATTTTCGTATTACGAATGCAAAAGATAATGGCATCGTTATTGAGATGGTTACCTAAGACTCCCACTTTTGAAAATATAGTGGGTGATTTTTTGTGAGTAGGATATCAAGTATAGACGAGCGATCTGAGGTTTTACATTGAGTCTAATGGTTCAAGTAATCAGTTGACTTCGAATGTACTGGTGTGTTAAGTTGAATGCGTCATGTGGTAGGTTTAGCCAATTCCAATGTAGTTGCCCTGTGATCAATATTTCACTTTTAGGGACTGGGTGACGAAACATTATTCAGAGATCCATTTG